GGAGCCAAGTTGTTGGAGCTCTGGGTCTCCCACCCTTTTTCAGTCAAAGGAGCAGGGAATAGGTATCAGCTCACATGCTGACTGAAAAAAATCACAGCTGCTTGGGAGTGCCTGGGTTAAGGAGGATTCTGAGGGCTGCTAGAAAGTTCCTTATCCATCAGCAATGTCTGCCACATTGCAGAAATCCAGGGTGATACCATGTGCCCCCGACTGCCAGTCTTGCCCTAGATTCCAGGGGTTCCTTAGTTGGTCCAAGCTACGGGGTCCCTGCAAAGGCCAGTAGTGAGAGTGATGAAGGTGGGGCAGGGAGCAGGTGGGGACAGGGACAGGTATCTTGCAACTCCCACAGCCTGAGCACTGGGCTGTCAGGGTAGACAGTCCCACTCCCATTTTTCAGGTGAGGCCACATATTCAGAAAGGATCAGTAATGTTCCCAGGCCCATTCAGCTGAGGCGGCCAGCTTTTAACCCAGGACCCACTCACAACCCATAGTCTTTCTTTTCCCTTCCAATCTGGCCTTCCAAAGCAGCCTATATATATATATATATATATATATATATATATATATATATATATATATATATATTCTTTTTTTTTTTTTAAATTAAACCACGTGTCCTGAGAGTGCCTCCAAAGGCAGTGCCCACCTCCCGGGGCTGGAAGTCCTCCTCCTCCAGGCCCCAGCGAGCCCGGTGGAAGCGGTAATACACCAGGTTCTGCTGCATGACACTGTCCTCAGGGTCGAAGAGCATGTAGCTGGCGGCGCTGCGGGCAGCCTGGCGCACATCGTTCACTGCGGGCAGGACAGGAGTGAGGAGCAGCCCTGGCACTGCCCCACTTTCAGGGACAACACCTTCCTAGCCCAGCCCCATCTCCCAATTCAATCCAGTGCACCTGGCTCCCCAGCTGCCTCCCAGAATATCTTCTAGGCACCTCACCCACCCACCCCCAAATCATAAGGCAAGCTAGAATGTCCCGGGCACTTGCCATGTGCCAGGCCCGGGTCATTTAAGCTTCACTGTTATCATCATCCCCATTTTACAGACAAGAAACCTGAGGCACAGAGAGGTTAGGTAGGTTTCTCAAGCTCACACAGCTGGAGTATAATGGCACTAGGGAATGAGAGCCCAGCAGCCCGGCCCTCAACCTCTTTGCCAACTGGAACTGGCCTCAGCTCCTCTGCTCCAACTCTAGCAACCATCCGAATCTCGGCATCTTCGCATTGCAGGAACACTGGAGATCATCCATCCCAGCCCCAGCTGATGCCCAGGATCTCCCCCAGACAAGAAGAGCCATAAACCCTGGTGCTACTTCTCATTAGCCATGTGACTAATGGCCCCTTGTACTATATAAGCCTCAGATTCCTCAACTGAAAAATGGGTCCAGTAACGTCTGCTGGTTGGGGGTAAAAGTATCAAGTGAGATAAACAGACATGTAAACTGTCAAGTTCTGTGCAATTGTGGGGTACCCAGTCATTTAACTAAGAGGTCCCTGAATTCTGCTAAGGCTGCTCTCTGTTCTTCCCACCCTCTCACCTGCCCGCCACCCCCAGGCTTCCCTCCCGTCACCCAGGGTCCTCACTTCTGAGGGGTGGCTCCCCATGGCTCTGTGACATTCCCAGTGCCGTACTCTCTCTGCCCTCTACCCCCCACCCCAAGCCCACCAGGAGGCTCACACTTGTAGTAGGCAAACTGCAGGTAGTGATACATGGTGGCCACAAACTTCTCCACAAAAAAGCCGCCCACGTTAGGTGTCAGGTTGGCCTCACAGTCCACTTTGCATTGCAGGGACTCTGCAAAGAGATCTAGTGGAGGAGGGGGAGGCAGTGGTGAGGAGCTGGTGGCTGCCCAGCCTGTACGATCACAGGAGATGATGCCGGAGAAGACTTTGCTGAGCATACTAAGGACACTGCTAAGGACTGCCACTGTGGCCTGAGCTAACATCACCCCTACCCCGAAACCAGAGGGAGCCGGGGCATTCTGAAGCAGATGAGGTTTGGAGGTAAGAAGCCTAGACAGAGCAGCTTCGGACGGTGTTTTCTGCCCCTGCTGAGGGACCCTACAGTTAGGGATCCCAATTAGGTGTGATTTCTGACCACAAACTGCCTTCTGCACCCATCTGCTGGGCTGATCCTGCACATAGCACCTTGGCACCTTTGCCCCTGCATTGCCCTCCTGCCTGGAAGGCCTGTGAACCCAGTGTCCCCAGCCCCTTGTGGGATGTAACCACCTCTCTGCACCCATGCCCACACTTGGGACAGGATTGTAGCACATGCCTCTCAACAGACTGAAGGCTCCCAGGGCGGGATAACACCTCACTCCTATCCACCTCCCAAGAACTTCCTGGGTGCTTCATAAACATGTAGGGGATGAAAACTTGTGCTAAGGGGCCTGAGAGCTCCGGGAAGCAGGGCCCTGTGGGAGAGCAGGAGGCCCACAAGGGTGTGAGGGGGTGGGCAATACCTGCTATGGCTGGATAGAAGTCCTTGAAGTCCACCTGCTCGTGGGCCCCCTCGCAGCCGGCCAGACATCGGGCAAAGACGGCCAGGTACTCGGCCAGGGCCCGCTCCATGTCCTCGGTGCTGCCGCGGAAGTCTCCGCTGTTGTAAAGCTTCACAGCCCTGAGGAACACGGCCTGGAGGGGAGCGTGGGAAGGGTCAGGGAGCCCCGCCAACACCTCCTCTCCGCTCCCAGCCCCGTTGGGGGCCAGCCCTGCCCCTGCCTCCACCTCGTAGGGTTGCGCCTCCAGGTCCGTGAGGGGCTCCTCGGCCGCGTCGAGCAGCCCCCGGTAGTAGCTGAGATACTTGGCGGTTAGCTCGTGCTTCGGGTTCCTCTGCAGGAAGGTGTAGGCCGCCGCTGCCGCCTTCTCCAGCCGGTTAGCCTGTGGGGCGGGCACAGAGCGGGTCGGGAGCGCCGGCTTGGGCTTGGCCGTCCCGGGCAGTGCGCGCGACTCCGCTCCCGACCGCACGGAGCCCGACGGCCGCTCGGAACCACACGCCCCAGCGGGGCCCCGGGGGCGAGGCTGGGCAGGGGCGTCGGGGGGCTGGGGGGGCACCCGGGCTGCGAGGGAGAGCGGGGAGGGATGCGGGAGGCCTCCGGGGTCGCGGAAGGCGAGGCGGGGCTGGGGGGCCCCGGGGGGTGTCGAGGGGCACCCGGACTGCGGGGGAGGGTGAGGAGGGATGGGGGAGGCCGGGCGGGAGGCCTCCGGGGTCGCGGAAGGCGAGGCGGGGCTGGGGGGGCCCCGGGGGGTGTCGAGGGGCACCCGCACTGCGGGGGAGGGTGAGGAGGGATGGGGGAGGCGGGGCGGGAGGACTCGGGGGTCGGGGAAGAGGCGGCGGGGCTGGGGGTCGCGGCGGGCCTGGGGACTCCAGGGTCGGGGGAGGGGCGCCGCGCGGGGTGCCGGGGCGGGGCCCACCTTGAACAGCGCGTAGTGCAGGTACTGGTAGGGCAGGCGGCTCTGGAAGTCGCGCAGCAGCTGCCGCGGCGGGTAGGGCACCTGGAAGGCGGGCAGCGTCCGCTTGCAGCGGCGCAGGCAGGCGGCGCGCTCCAGGACGTGTCCGAAGAGCTGCAGCTCGCGGGCCCACTCCTCGCCGCGGCCGCCGTCGGGGCCGGGCGCGGGCCCCGAGGGCGAGGCCGCGGGCGGCGCGGGGCCGCTGCAGTTGGCGTGGCAGAAGGCCTCGCTGTCCCGCAGCAGCCGGTGCAGCCGCAGCGCCGCCTCGAGGTAGCGCGCGCTCTCCCGCCAGCTCTCGCCCTCGTACTGCTCGAGCGCGTGTCCGTAGGCCGCGGCCAGAGGCATCAGGTCCTCGGGCGGGAAGCCCCGGAAGCTGTACTTTTCGTACTGCGCCGCGGCGCTGCCCAGCAGCAGCCACAGCAGCCCCCACGCCGCCCGCCCCATGGCCGCGCCGCGCCGGCCGGCTCTCCCGGGGCGGAGCAGGCGGCAGGGCCTGGCGGGGCGGCGGGCGGGCCGGGCGGGAGCGGGAGCGGAGCGGGGGCCGCTGGGTCTTAGTGCCGGGCACCGGGGGCAGGAGGGCGGGGTCGCGGGCTGGGTCAGCTCCCCCGAGGGGCAGAGGGCCCGGGGTGTCCCGAGTCTCCTACGGTGGCCCACCTCCTGCCCTTGGGGGTCTGCCCCCTGACCTTCTGGAAGCGGTTGGAAGGACGCTTCCCGCAGGGCTGGGAGCCCGCAAAGCCCCTCCTCCCCACGCGAAGACAACCCCCCACCTTAAGGTCCAGAAATTGACGGAGCGCCGCCTCCTCCACTCTGCCCAAACCCTGGCACCTGGTCTACTTTCCAGTACAGGGTCCCTTCTGCTCCTTCTCCGCCCCTAGCCCCGAAGGAGTCACTGCTAGTGTCCTCTCCCCGCCGCCCGCACCCCCAGTTCGCGACTGGGAGGCGCGCAGCGCTCCCGCAGCTGCCCACCCGCCTCCAGCCCCGCGCGGCACGGTCCGGGGTCCGGGCCCGCCAGCCTCCGCGAGGCACCGCGGCTTGTCCCCGGAGAGGCCCTCCCTGGGGCATTGGGGGAGTGGGGGCGGGGAGATGCCAAGATATCCCCAGATTCTGGAGCCCCTCCATCCATCTGGAGGAGCCTAATTTGGAGGTGGTGGCGAGAGAAGCCAGGGATGTTTCAGCTCGGCTTTAGGACCCGGGGACTCCGGAAAAGGGATGCCGAACTTTTTTCTTTTCTTTCTTTATTGCTTTCTTTCTTTTCTTTCTTTTTTTTTTTTTTTTTTGAAATGGGAGTCAGCTCCTGCTTCTCGGCTTTCCCGAACCTCCCTCCCTGGCCGGGCCCCTGGACGCCGAGCCCCGGGAGGGAGGGGGAATCTGGAGTCTTTCTCGCGCATTCCTGTAACTCCAACACTCAGCCTCGCCCCCTCCTCCGATCCCACCCCCCGTCTCCCGCCCCCCGTCCCGCCAGCTCAGTCTCCCCAGCCCCCATTCCACGTGGACCAGCCAGGGCGGGGGTGGGGACGAGGACAGGAAGGGGGGGAGCCTGCTCCCGGAGCAGGGGGGAAGGAGGCTGGCGGCGGCGACTCCCTCGCTCGCCCTCACTGCTGGCCGTCCGCGCTCCAGGCACCATGTTCCGCGCGGGGTTCCCCAGCCACACCTTCCTCCGGCTCCCCCTGCTGCAGTTGCTGCTGCTGCTGGTACAGGCCGTGGGGAGGGGGCTGGGCCGTGCTAGCCCGACCGGGGGCCCCCTGGAAGATGTAGTCATCGAGAGGTACCACATCCCCAGGACCTGTCCCCGGGAAGTGCAGATGGGGGATTTTGTGCGCTACCATTACAACGGCACTTTCGAGGATGGCAAGAAGTTTGACTCGAGGTAACGGGTTGGGTGCCCCCAGACTGGCCACTCCCCTTGGGGCCAGGCTCTTGTAATCCTGGAGATCCGTAGTCCCTTTAGGCTGTATCTGCATCCCCTATTCACTCTGTGGTCTTCCAACCTCTAATGCGGCACCCTGGGAATGGGGACTTCCAGATATCCATCTTCCCCAGGACATCCTTACCCTCAATTTCAAACCCTCACTTCTCAAAGGACCCCAGTTTCTTTTACAGCAAGCTCCCCGTTTTCCCCAAAGTGATGATGGAGGTGAACTGCTGTATTTACTTACCAGTGCTTTATTTAAAGACCTGGCAGGGAGGTTCTGGTCCCTAGTGCTGGGGGGAAGGGCAGGGTCCCTGCTACATGTGAATCCTCCAGTGGTCTCAGCCTGGGACCCCCTGAATCCCTTCTGGTTCCAGCCCCAGGTTTCCAGCCTTTGTACCCAGAGAAGAGGCAGTAGAACCTTTTTGGAGGCCACGGGGGTTTTGAGCAGCTAGGGTGGTAAAGCAGGGTGACCCAGGAGTGGAGGGCATAGCTCTGTGTAGGGACCCTATGTGTCTACGTGTCACAGGGCTGGGCATTGACCCCCAGGCTCCTCAGGGGGTTCTCAGCTCCCTCTCTGGGTTTCCCTGCACCCCCCACCTCCCTCCATCTTAGCTCCACCAGCCCAGGACTGCCTCCCATCTTGTCCGCTTTGGGGTTTGAGAGATGGGCTTCTGGTCTGATCAGACCTTTGATCTGCTTTGGCAAGTTACTTTTGTGGGTAGAGGCAGGGCAGGGCTGCACGCCAGCCTAGGTTAAACCTCAGAGCCGAGTCATACACCATATCCCAAGAGCTCAGTCCCTCTTAGACCCCTTCCCAAAACACACAACTCAGCCTATGGGAAATCGTTGGCCATGGCTTTGAAAGGCAGGCAGTGTACTGAATGAAGGACATGAGCTCCAGAGTGCAGGACCCCGAGTTCAAATCCAGCCTGTGACCATGAACAAAAAATTTTAGTACTTGCAGCTTCATGTTCCTTATCTGAAAAACAGAGGTTAAAAATAATCTGGAAAATTCAATTCCCTCTTCCTAAGGCTGATAACAGGGCTCAAGTATGATGATGAATGAAAGTGAATTTCACGCAGCGCCTGCCAATCCGAAAGCAAGTTCAGGGCACATGGGCCTTGACTCTGGGGAGGATTGAGTGCTCTGATAGTGTGTAACTGGTAGAAATTCTGTGTGGGCTTGGGCCCTCACCACAGCACTGTGGAGGAAGCCTCTCAGTGGGCAGAATGAGGGATGGCTGGTGGCCAGGAATACAGCCCAAGTCAGGGAAGGGTTGGGAGCCGGGGATGGCTTCCTTGGTGGGACTCTGGGAGCCTGGCTGGCCCCAGTTCATGCAGTGCTAAGCTTGGAAAAACGTCCTTAACCCATGGTTCTTAACTCTTTTGGTCAAAAGAAAAATCTCTTGGAGTCCCCTGGGGTTGGCTCAGTTGGAAGAGCATGCAACTCTTGATCTTGGGGTCAGGAGTTCAAGTTCCTCATTGGAGGTAGAGCTTACTAAAAAATTGAATAAACTTAAAAAAAAGTGATTTAAAAATTTGTTTTAAATAAAAGTCTCCCAGGGCGCCTGGGTGGCTCAGTCATTTAAGTGTCTGCCTTCAGCTTAGGTCATGATCCCGGAGTACTGGGATCCAGTACCACATTGGGCTCCCTGCTCAGGGGGGAGTCTTCTCCCTCTGCCTCTGTCCCTCCTCCCTGCTCTTGCTCTCTCTCTCTCTCTCTCTCTCTTTCACTCTCAACTACATAAAATCTTTTTTAAAGAAGAAAAGAGGGACTCTTGAGTGGCACAGTGGTTGAGCGACTGCTTTTGGCTCAGCATCAGGTCTTAATCCCAGGGTCCTGGGATCCAGTCCCATATTGGGCTCCCTGCGGGAAGCCTGCTTTTCCTTCTGCCTATGTCTCTGCCTTTCTCTCTGTGTCTCTCATGGTAAATAAATAAAATCTTTAAAAAAAAGAAAAGAATTTCCTTCTAAAAAATAAAAACCTCTCATCTTCCCTTAGCATCTGAGAACTTAAAACTAACTAAAAGCAAATAAAAGTCAAGAGGTAAAAATTTCCAATTATAAAATGAACAAATCATGGGGATGTAGTGTACACTGGGAGCATAGACAACAATATCATATTAACTTTGTGTGGTGACAGGTGCTAACTAGATTTATTATTCTGATTTTCTCCTAATGTCTGTAAATGTCAAATCACTATGCTGTACACCTGAAACTAGTATTATCTTGTATGTCAATTATACTTCCATAAATAATAAATAAATAAAAGTAAGATAAAACAAAAACCAATAAAGGCCATGGCAATTTTAAAATGTGTCTTTCCAGAATTGGAAACTAATCTCTATCCTCAGCTAGCTCTGCTTCCCCCTCCTCTCCTTGGAAAAGTGATGGTGTGGTGGCACAAACATGGAGTTGAATAAGGCACGGATTAGCTGCATAACCTTGGGCAAGTCAGTGTCTTGTCTCAATTTTTGTCATGAGAAAAATGAAAATGCTAATGCCCACTTCAAAGGGGAAAGAATTAAATAAGGTATTGAGGGGCACCTGGGTGGCTCAGTCAGTTAAGCATCTGCCTTCTGCTCAGGTCATGATCCCGGGGTCCTGGGATCAATCAAGCCCCATATTGGGCTTTAGTGGAGGCTGCTCCTGCTTCTCACTCTTCCTCTGCCCCCCACTTATGCTTGCTCTGTCTCTCCAGTGCTCTCTTTCTCAAGTAAATAAATAAAATAAATAAGGTGGTGAAAGGGAAAGGTCAAGGATTTCATCTGGCACATGGCCAATGCTCAGTAAATGTTCCTTTTCCCCTTTGGGCCATACTTAGCACCCCTCTGCTATCAGCAGATAGTGGTAGCACACAGGCCTATGCAGACCTCCTATGTCCCAGGCAAATAAAAACCCCTGACCTCCTCAGGGACGTCTCTCCTGTAGCAGCCCATCCTATTAAGGGAGGAGGGAGGCTTGAGAGGAGACAGGAGTATGTGGACCCACGCCTGTGTATAGGGAGGCGGATAGAGTGTGTGTGCACCTGCGCATGTGTGTGACCATGGGCAGAGACCACTGAACCCCATCTGCTTCTTCCCTCCCCTCCCCTCCCCCAGCTATGACCGAAGCACCTTAGTGGCCATCGTGGTGGGCGTCGGGCGCCTCATCACCGGCATGGACCGAGGCCTCATGGGCATGTGTGTCAACGAGCGGCGACGCCTCATTGTGCCTCCCCACCTGGGCTATGGCAGCATTGGTGTGGGTGAGAAGGGTTGGGCACAGGCATGGGGATGGAGGAGACCCAGGAGGCAGACAAGGACCCCAGGGCCAAAAACTGAAGCTCGGAGGGGGAGAGTGACTTGCCCAAGGTCACACTGCCTATGCAGTATGCGTTGAGACAGGTCTGGGGCTAGAGTTTCAGTCTCCTGCCCATGGAGTGGGAGGAAAGGAAATGACAGGCCCTGGGTAGAATCAAATCTTGACTAGGGAGAAGGGGAACTAGGGGCAGTAGAGGGGGTGGCCAAGCAGGACGTTCAAGTGGCCATTCAACCTGCCACGCTGGGGCTGCAGCAAATATGGCACCGCCTTTGATACCAGGTAAGGGCTAGAGGGAGTCTTGGGCGTAGGGGACTGTGGCATGGTGAGGGGTCCTGGAGGCTGCACCGGACATGAGCTGTGGCCTCCGGACTCTCACAGCGGGGCTCATTCCCCCGGATGCCACCCTCTACTTTGATGTGGTCCTGCTGGATGTGTGGAACAAGGCAGACACCGTGCAGGTGAGCACCTTGCACCACCCAGCCCACTGCCCCCGCATGGTCCAGGACAGCGACTTTGTCCGCTACCACTACAATGGCACACTGCTGGATGGCACCGCCTTTGACACCAGGTAAGGGCTAGAGGGGTCCTGGGGCACTGGGGGCCGTGGTATGATGGGGAGGGTGTCCAGGGCCCATCTCCACCAGCTCTACCTCATTCTCTACAGCTACAGTAGGGGCGGCACTTATGACACCTATGTTGGCTCTGGATGGCTGATCAAGGGCATGGATCAGGGGCTGCTGGGCATGTGTCCTGGAGAGAGAAGGAAGATCATCATCCCTCCATTCCTGGCCTATGGCGAGAAAGGCTATGGTGAGGGCAGACAGGGTCTCGGGGATTCCCCAGAAGAGGACTGTCACGTACGGTTGTTCGGGTTGTGTCCTGCAAAAGGGCACTCAGGACGCCGTAGAGATGAAATCTCTCTTGGTTATGATCTCACTAAGAAAGGGTGCTTTATTCTGATTCCCACAGACATTCAGTAGGGGCTAGTGATGGCCTTGCGGAGGATCTAGCTCACACCTCACAGGGGGAGCAAGAAACAGGGCTGCTGAGGATAGAGCAAGGTCTCTGGAGAGCAGAATTAGCACCTTTCTGCAGGGTGCTCACACGGGCCTTCCTGAGTGGAGAAGGAGCCCCGTTTGTTCTCCACTTGTATGGTTCAAGCCTATCCCTTCCCCAGGGACTGTGATCCCCCCTCAGGCCTCCCTGGTCTTCCACGTGCTACTGATTGACGTCCACAACCCAAAGGACACCATCCAGCTAGAGACGCTGGAACTACCTCCTGGCTGCGTCCGGAGAGCAGTGGCTGGAGACTTCATGCGTTACCACTACAACGGCTCACTGATGGACGGCACCCTCTTTGATTCCAGGTTAGTGTGGGGCGGGGGGAGCAGGAGGGTTCCTGAGGACAGAAGGTGGAAGAGGGAGTGAGGACCTGGGGTCACCCCAGGCAGCAGCTGGGGGTGGCTCTGAGCTGCCGGGCAGGGCCGGGTGGGGGGCCCTGTGACCTCCCTTGCTGGCCCTTCCTGCCTTGTATTACAGCTACTCCCGCAACCACACCTACAACACCTATGTGGGGCAGGGTTACATCATCCCCGGGATGGACCAGGGGCTGCAGGGCGCCTGCATGGGGGAGCGCCGGAGGATCACCATCCCCCCACACCTGGCCTACGGAGAGAATGGGACAGGTAGGCGTGTCCCCTGTGCTCACAGTCACCATGGTAGCATCACTGCAGACTGTCCACTGACTCCCCAGGGGCGCAGGGCCATTCCAGCCACCGCGCTGCCCCTCTCATCACCAACAGTCACCTGCCACACCTGCCACCTGCCCGCCTCCTGCCACACAGACTCCATCCTCTCCTCCTGGGGCACACCCCGCCCCACTTCTCCCTTCCATCATGGAGAGGGCAGCCAACTCCTGAGTTTTGGGGAGGTGGGGTTGTTATGGAGGAAAAGAAATAGCCCTAGGAAGCAAAGAGACCTGGACTTGAGACCCAGCTTTGCTGGAAGCCTAAGTGTCCTCACCTGTAAAATGGGGCAAATTACTTTTTTTTTTTTTAATTTTATTTATTTATTCATGAGAGACATAGAGATTGAGACAGGGACATAGGCAGAGGGAGAAGCAGGCTCCCCAAGGGGATCCCGATGCGGGATTTGATCCCAGGACCCTGGGATCATGATCCGAGCCAAAAGACGCTCAACCACTGAGCCACCTAGGTGTCCGTAATGGGCTTTCTAACTGGCCTGGTCCTCCCCTCCCCTGTCCCTCACCCCCACAAGAGCGTATTAGAAGAATTGACCCTGGGAACAAAGACTGTGGCCCATCCTAGTTTGCAGACACAGGGGTGGTGGTGGGGTGGGGGGGAGGCCTAAGGGCCTAGGGGAGGCCTGAGCAGCCCTTCCTGGATTCTGAGCTGATCCATTCTCCGTTCTGACCCCAGGAGACAAGATCCCCGGCTCTGCTGTGCTGATCTTCGATGTCCACATCATTGACTTCCACAACCCTGGGGATCCTGTGGAGATCAAGATACTGTCCCCACCCCCGGAGACCTGCAATGAGACAGCCAAGCCTGGGGACTTTGTTCGCTACCACTATAACTGCTCGCTCCTGGATGGCACCAAGCTCTTCTCCTCGTGGGTCCGGGGCAGGGCCAGGGCTGGGCAGGTGGGTGGGCCCAGGCGTGGGGAGTCCTCCCGACACACCCCGACGGGTGCTTCTGTAGATGTTCCCATCCAGCCAGCATGGGGGACCCCGAGGAGCTGAGATTCTCTATGCATGGGCACAGGGAGGGTGAACCAGTTAGTCTAGGGGAGCTGCTGTCTCCATCTGTGGAGGGGAACCCAAAGCAGGGAGAGATGGGCCCTCCAGGCTGCACTTGGGGGGCAGTGGCATGATGAGGAGGGCATCCTACTCTGAACTGTTGGGCCCAGCACTGGACTGTGTGGGGCAGGCACCAGGAGGAGTAGCTGGGAGACTGGGCTGGTGGGGGACGATGGGATGCTGACTGGCCTGGGAATCTGCTTTCCCCCTGCTGCAGCCATGACTATGGGGACCCCCAGGAGGCTACACTGGGGGCCAACAAGGTGATCGAAGGCCTGGACACAGGCCTGCAGGGCATGTGTGTGGGAGAGAGGCGGCAGCTCGTGGTACCCCCACACCTGGCGCACGGAGAGAGTGGAGGTGAGGAGCAGACCGGCACTAGGGGCTGCTGGGGCCCATGAGGGAGGCCTTCCCAAGGGTTCTGTGTCCAACAGGGGAAACTGGGGACTGAGGAGCACCTAGGGCAGGCTGCAGGACGGACCCAGGCCTCCGCCTAACTGGGATGCTTCCCTTTCTTCCCCCCCATCTCCAGCCCGGGGTGTCCCTGGCAGTGCAGTGCTGCTGTTTGAGGTGGAGCTGGTGTCCCGGGAGGAGGGGCTGCCTACAGGCTACTTGTTCGTGTGGCATGAGGACCCTCCTGTCAACCTGTTCGAAGGCCTGGACCTCAACAAGGACGGCGAGGTCCCCCTGGAGGAGGTGGGTGAGGAGTTCGGTCCTCCTGATAGCTTCTCCCACACTGTCACCCTGACAGGAGCTGCTGTGTGTGGTGGTGTCATGCAGCGCAGTATGTCTGCAGTCCCAGCTGCACCTGTCTCTGCCCCTGTCCTGGGTCACGGTGCCTCAGGTCTTGTCCCTGCCTCTTCTTCATGCAGCCCAGCTCCCCCCTTCCACTGCTGCCTGTCCTCCACACCTACCTCCTCTCCCGGCCCCCTCTGGGACCCTTCCCAAGGCCACTTGCAGCTGCTCCGGTGAGACCCTCACCCCCCTCTCCCCTTGGCTCTCCTGGCTCCCAGTTCTCCGCCTTCATCAAGGCTCAAGTCAGCGAGGGCAAAGGACGCCTCATGCCTGGGCAGGACGCAGAGAAAACCATAGCAGACATGTTCCAGAATCAGGACCGCAACCAGGATGGCAAGATCACCATGGAGGAGCTCAAACTGAAGTCGGACGAAGACCAGGAGCGGGTCCATGAGGAGCTCTGAAGGCCAGGAGCCTGGGCCCAGGCCCAAATGTGGAGGCCCGCTTCTGTGAGGACAGTGGGCCCTGGGGCTGACCTTCCAAGGGTCGCCCTCCCCTGTGCAGGCATCATGTCTAGGAACACCTGAACCATGGTCAGAGGAGACAACTCTGGTCTCCCCACCAGCCCGAGAGTAAAATCCACAATACAGACCTCGATTTACTGTTTCTCTTCTGGCCCCAAACCCCTCCCTTACAAGTTTTGGAGTCACAAAGCCAATCTGTTGGCGGAGTCTGGGGGTCGGGTGGGGCCATTGCTGAGCCTCACCCATATCCCCCGCCCCCATCGTCACCAGACACTGAACAAGGCCCAGCTCAGTCATTTATTTTCTCAGACTTTCCTTTTACCCATACTTTTCCTTGTCCCCAACTACCCTGCTCTGGTCTCTATTCCTGGGTCCAGGCAGCCCCCCAAGAGCATAGACCAGGACTCACCAGACCCTCAGCTCTGGGGGCTTCTAGGGAGGGCACTGCCCTCCCCCACCCACTCCCTCCCCCACACCTCTGCTGTTGGCCCCCCACAATGTCCAGTGGTGGCTGGAGTGACCCTGGGGTGCTCTGTTCAGGGCTGGGCTTGGTGTTGCCCTTCCTCCCTCTCTGTCCCTGCTTTCTTTCTCTATGGGACAGAGAAGAGGAGGGTGAAGGGGGTGGGGATAAGGATGGATGTAGTCTTAGGGCTACGAAATCCTTGGTTTGGGGGAGAGATAAACTTGGAAGAAAGGCTTGCTTGAAGTGAGAGGGGGGTAGACAGCTCTGCACATTCAAAAGGCTAAATTGGTGGCAGATCCCTTTCTCCTTTGTACCAAATAAAAGACTAAACCAAAGGCCTCAGGATGTGCTCTTTCAGTTGGAGGGTGGCCCTGGGACCCCAAAACTGGGGAAGAACCAGGAAGAAAGTGGGCGTTCAAGATACCACGTCCCTAGGTCTCTGCCTCCTACCTGCTGTGGCCTAACCAGGGCCCTCCCCATGGAAAGGGAGCCCCCTGTGTGCTGGAGGGAGAGTGGGGAGTGGTCATCTACAGGGGGGCCTGCAGGGGAGGTGTGGAAAGATGATCCCTGGCTCTTAACTGTCCCAACTGAATGGAAAGGTGGGGTCCCCCTGCCCCCAACCTCAAACTGAAGAAATTCAAGGATTAAATTAAGCTGCACAGGTTGGATTCCTCTCTTCCAGAGGAAGATTTGTTTCAATACTAGGCTACCTCCCGCCTCTCCTTGCTCCTGGCTGCCAGCCATTACCACCTGCTGGATCCTCCCTCCCTTCATCTGAAGGAAACTTATCAGCTCCAACCTACAGTGTCTTGAGGGAGAATTGCTCCAGCCAGCGGGCAGGCCACCCCCCCCCCCCCCCCCCCCGCACAGGGCTGGACTTTGGCCAGGGCGTCAAAGATGTCCTACGCCAGGAGAGGATGGGGGAGCAGGGGAGGCTTGGGAGAGAAGCCAATGGTACTGGGCTCCCTGGACTAACCTGTCCCCCCACAAGCACCCATTTCTTGCCCAGGATCCTGAGACACGGCTTCTCCCCACAACCAATCCTGGACACTCCAGGCTACAAAGCATCCTGAAGGCACCTTAGGCTCTGACAGTGGCTACCCACTGGCCTCAGAGGGTAACCACCTCTTCTCCTAAAGCGAACAAGCCAGCTCTGAACCAAAGCCCGCAGGGAGGAGCGATGCCAGAGAAATGCTATGGCTTAGGTCAGAAACCCTAAAATCCCGGCTCTTGCTTCTAGCTATGGAGTTTAAGCAAGTTTCTGGTCTTTTCCAAGCCACCTGTAAATGGAACTACACCGCCCTGGGAAGGTCTGAAAGGCCTGCGCCCACAGCAGCCGCCACCTTGCCACCTTCTCCTTCAGCCCTGCACTTCCCAGAGCCAGGCGTCCTCTGCAGGAGGAGGAGGAGGGGTGAAGTCCTCTGAGGACAGGCTAAATAAGGCCAGGTGACATCAGCTGCTTTACATTTTCTCTTCAAAAGGTGCCCTAGAGAGAATTCTGCTAGTTCTTGACCATCCAAGTCAACAGGGGAGGAAGAAGGGAAAGAAACTCTGAAGGAAGCCCAGTGATGCCAGACGACTGAGTAGAAATTACTTCCACTTTCTTGTGTCACAGAGCACCTTCTCCCTTCAGGTCCCAGGTCCTGATACCCCTTAAGTCAGCCATCTTCATGGCCCTGGGCCCACATAAGGAAGAGAAGAGAGGGCGGGAGCCAAGGGCTCAGGGAGAAAATCGACACCCACATGCATCCCTTTGGGGGATCCATAAAAAGGGAACTCTGCAGACAGGGTTGGCCAGACCTGGCTGACCCCAACAGAATTTTAGGTGTAATGGCTACCTCAGCGTCAAGTCAAACCATTTCAGGTCAGAAACACACCCTTCCAACCGCACCAGCCCACCTCCATCCCCAGGCACATTTATGGTATGCTCAGAGGGTATCGTGAGTGAATTCGGATTTTGTTTTTTAACATTTTATTTTCTAAGTAATCTCTACACCCAACATGGGGTTTGAACTCATAACCTTGAGATCAAGAGTCACACACAATAGGCTGAGCCAGCCAGCCCTGTACCCACCAAATCAAAACAGCTGTTTTTTCCTTTTTTTATTTTGATCTGTTTCACACATTAGATGTTTGAAGAATAGCTTCCTATTTTTAAAAATTGGGGGAAAAAAGAACCCCTGGACTAGATGGTCCCTAGAGTGCTAACACTCTATAGGTCCTGTGTTCACCTGGCTGGCCCTCCCATCTGGTGGGCTTCCCGCAAAACTCTGGAGAACACAACAGAAGATGCTGGGAAAGGAGGAGGGAGAGGCCTGGGCTCAGCAGCTGGACCCTCCTGGACTCTGCACACACAGGGAGAAGCAGCGCTCCCCACAGGGCGGCCTCCGGGTGAGGCTCCCTCCTCTCCGCAGCCTGCAGCTTCAGCCCCACGCCTGCCCTCAGGAGCCCTGCATCTCTATCCAGTCCCCCTGATGGAGGATGTGCTGCAGCAGCCCGTTGACCACGTCCAGTGTCTCGTCCTTCTCCAGCACAATGTCATAGGAGTCCATGTAGCGCTCCCGCCGCTCTTCCACCTGCCCGGGGGGGGGGGGGGTGACAGAGAGTCCCAAGGATGCCCTGCCTTCTCTGCCTCTGCCTCTCAGGTACCTGGGGCAGGGGGACGATGGCATTCAGGCTGCAACTCTCAAGAGAAGTTCCAGGTGACAGGGACCCGCCCTTTGGATGGCAGTGGGCATAGGGTACCACAATTAACCCTTGTGTCAGTGCCAAAAGGTCAGTACAAGCATTAAAATTTAAAAAACAGATGTTATTTCTAGTCCATCTGGATTGAATTTTCACAAGGTTCAAGCATTCTAGAGGTCTTCAGCACCTGCTGGCTGATGGTGAGGGGAGGACAGGAGTGGTGGCCTTCTAATCTGACACCATACTATGCCCCTTTATGACCACGGTGTTTGCACCCGTCGGCCTCTGGTCTGTTCTTATAGATGTTTTTTTTTTATTTATTCATGAGAGACACACACACACAGAGAGAGAAGCAGGCTCCATGCAGGGAGCCTGACGTGGGACTCAATCCCAGGTCTCCAGGATCACACCCCAGGCTTCAGGCGGCACTAAACCGCTGCACCACCGGGGCTGCCCTGGTCTGTTCTTATAAACGCACTTTCCTAATACTGACTTCTCTCCGACTTCAATCATACCTTACAGGTACGACATGAGGACTGCAATCAGCCCCACCACATCCTATCCTATGTACCATGGGTAGATGAACCTCCTTGCCTCGGTTTCCCATCTGAGAGTCACTACCTCAAACAGCTGCCATAAGGATTAAATGGGTCAATGTGCCCGGTATGTGGTGAGCATCCAACAGTAAGTGCAGGCTGATGACCCTGTCTCTGAACTCCTGTCGCGCCATGTGCCCAACATAGCCATCATCACTGTGTATCTCTTCTGTTTCCCTCTGAAAATATAGCTTGTGACTTACCTCAGTGCCTCTAAGACTCGACAGTGACTAGCACATAGAGTGTTCACCAGGCATTTGTTAACAGAAATTGAAAAAGAAGCAAGCCACTAAGATAAGAAGCCCCGGTCTCACACCTACCTTGTCATTTAAGAAGCCAATCTTGAGAATGTTCTCCACACCAAGCACCCCATCAGCCATAGTGAGGTCCCCCATGGAGTCTCCCAGCAGGAGGATGTTGGTTTTCCCCTGAAGCTGCTGGAAGTACCCAGAATTCTCACAAACGGAGCTGTTCTTATTGTATGTGTGTATGAGCTGGCCCTTGAATCCCCGGAGGAAACCCTAAAGAATCAAGAGACAGAAGAGCTACAGGGACCCATCTACAGCCAGTTTTCCATTGTCGCTATCACAGAGGAAAGGGAATCCTGAAAGACAGAAATGCCAAAATCTCATTGTAGTCTAAAGTAGGGGCCAGCCAATTAGGTCCTGTAGTCCAGATTTGGCCTATTTTTGTATGTAAATTAAGTTTTTTCAGAACGCAGTGAGGTTCATTGGTTTACATCTGTCCACGGTTGCTTTTTTTTTTTTTTTTTTCCACAGCAGAGTTGAGTAGTTGTGACAGATCATAAAGTCTATCCCACAAAGTCTAAAATATTTACTACCAGGCTTTTTTTTTTTTTTTTTACTACCAGGTTTTTTACAAAAAAAGTTTGTAATCCCTGATTTAAACTCACAAGGACCCTCAATATCATTGTTCACATACTCTGGGGTAGCATGAAGCCCGTGACACAAGCACTGTTCAGGCTACATGTGTGCTCACCCTCAGCTGTGAGCCATGTCCTCACCTCAGGCTAAAGGGATGGGAATTCCAGCCATTGGTTTAAGGGAAGAAGTCAGAGCATGAGTGAGTCAGAGTAACCCACCTCTGGCTCCAGGAAAACAAGTCAAAGTCTAAGTCCTAGGTACCTTGAGTTTGAGTACCTAGGATGGCACATGACCTAGGGCAGAGACATGGGGCTTGCCTGAACCCTAAATTAGGCACCCTAGGGAGGGCAGGTCCTTCAGAGGTAACTGTCTTTAGCTGGCATAAATAAATAACTGACTGAGTGCAAGAAGCCAGCATGCCTTCCCTCCCCAGATTAGGGTTAATGGTTTCAGATATGGCCCTGGGGGCTGGTGGTCCCCACCCCTCTTCCATCCCTAGCCTAAAGGAGACCCGGCTCACGTCCTCATCAAAGTCCATGTAGTTAGACACGATGTGGATGTTAGGGTGGAACACTTTCATCTGTCGGATAATCTCCTCCAGGATGTCACCAATGCCCGCGGAAAAGATGAAAAGGGGAATGTTGTTCTGGTAGAGGGTGTTGAAGAACGTCTTGTATCCCTCCCTGAAAAGAGATGGATGGATTCTGCAATTGCACTGCCTCTGGTCCTGGTCTTTTTTCTTTCTTTCTTTTTTTTTTTTTTTTTAGATTTTATTTATTTATTTGAGAGAGAGAGAGAGACAGAGAGAGAGAGCACAAGCAGGGGAGAGGGTCAGAAGGAGAAGCCGACTCCCCACTGAGCAGGGAGTCTGACATGGGGCTTGATCCCAGGACCTGGGATCATGACCTGAGCTGAAGGTAAATGCTTAACCAACTGAGCCACCCAGGCACTCGTCTGCTCCTGGTCTTTATTTTCTACTTTGGTGATATATTTTTAAATTTTTTCTTTTTAAAGATTTACTTAGGGATCCCTGGGTGGCGCAGCGGTTTAGCGCCTGCCTTTGGCCCAGGGCGTGATCCTGGAGACCCGGGATCGAATCCCACGTCGGACTCCTGGTGCATGGAGCCTGCTTCTCCCTCTGCCTGTGTCTCTGCCTCAATCTCTCTCTCTCTCTCTCTCTGTATGACTATCATAAATAAATAAAAATAAAAAAAAAACTAAAATCTTTAAGAAAAAAACAAGGGAAAAAAAAAAAAAAGATTTACTTATTTATTGAGAGAGAGCACACACATGTGCAGGGAGGGAGGAGCAGAGGGGCAGAGGGAGGGAGAGTCTTAACCAGACTCCCCCCTGAGTATGGAGCCTGACACGGGGCTTGATCTCACCACCCTGAGATCATGACCTGAGCCAAAATCAATAGTTGGGGGCTTAACCAACTGAGCCACCCAGGCGCCCCTACATTTTTTCTTTTCTTTTTTTTTTTTTTAATTTTTTTTAATTTTTATTTATTATTTATGATAGTCACAGAGAGACAGAGAGAGGGGCGCAGAGACACAGGCAGAGGGAGAAGCAGGCTCCATGCACCGGGAACCCGACGTGGGATTCGATCCTGGGTCTCCAGGATCGCGCCCCGGGCCAAAGGCAGGCGCCAAACCGCTGCGCCACCCAGGGATCCCCACATTTTTTCTTTTTAAAAACATTTTAAATTGAGGTATAAAATACATATAATAAATGGTTAACATGCACTAATCTTAATTCTTCAACTCAACTAATGTTTACATATGTATACACCCATGTAATTACTAACCAGATCAAGGTTCCCTTTCCAACCAATGCCATCCCCTCCTGTTGTGACCTCATGTGCACTGCTGATTAGCTTTGCCTATCCTTGAACTTCATATAAATGGGCTGTTGTTTGTTTTTGCCTTATTTTGCTCGAGCAAAATACAACCAGGTAGCTATCTGGGACAGCTTCACTGAGGAAACACCCCAACCCCTTGGCACTTACTGGGTTTGCATGTGTCTCTACTTTCTTGGCTTTTTGTGGCTCTCCCTAGGAAAGACATCCAATCCTTGAGAGCAGGCATCCATGTTGCCTCCTTCCTCTATGTGCCCTCATCCCTCCTCCAGTAAAGATCATGGCAGCACTGGGAAGTTTGCTGATGATCAAGAGTCTCAGGCCAGCCAACTCTCATATTGGAGTTAAGAACACCAGTCATCAGGGTGACCCCAAAGTCTTTTTACCACTGGAGAAAATGAGCTAGAAACTGTTTATTCTAGGAGATGAAGCCTTGGTCATATTCATACTATACCCGCTAGCAGTAGACAGTTTCCTAGGAAGCACCCAAGGGTGAGATATCCTTTAGCTATATTCAGAGACGAAAAGCAAGATCTTCACATCAGCCACTCACGGTGTTTTGTCTCTTTTGACTCCCCTAGCAACTGACTCCCTTCCACTCTCTCTCAGACTCTTTTTTTTTTTTAAATCTTTTATTTTTTATTTTTTTTAATTTTTTTATTTATTTATGATAGTCACAGAGAGAGAGAGAGGCAGAGACATAGGCAGAGGGAGAAGCAGGCTCCATGCACCGGGAGCCCGACGTGGGACTCGATCCCGGGTCTCCAGGATCGCGCCCTGGGCCAAAGGCAGGCGCCAAACCGCTGCGCCACCCAGGGATCCCTCTCAGACTCTTTTTTGTGAGCAAACCAGTTTCAAATGTTTTCCAGAGCGAGCCGCTTACCTAAGCATTGCATTGGACTCTTTAACCACCTGGGCAATCTGAAACTTCTGAATCTTCTGCTGGCACAGGAGATCGTGTGCTTTGGTCCACCTAGAAACAGACACCCCACAAAAGTCCAAATTCCAACCACTAAGTAAAGCGTCCTTTCGCTTTTAAGGACTAAGTTCCCTCTGGAAAGATTAATGGAGGCCTCATCCTTTTCCACCAAGCCACTTCCTGAAAGACTCTGGCCATCCTTAAAAGGAAGAGGGTGAGAAAGCCATACTACAGCCACAGGAACAAGAAGTGGGTGAGCTAACTGCTGAAGTCAACCACTCTTCTGAATCCTTCCCTTGGTGACCCCATATTCTGGAGAACTGGGGCTCCATCCAGTGATACTGGTTCCTGTAGGAGTTATCTTTCCAAAGTACTTATTCCCCCAAACCAAGGGGTTTGTACCTCATTCCCAGGATTCTCAGTGGGCCTCCCATTCTAGCAGCAGCCATAAGCATCCCCACTGTGGCTGGATGGTTTGTTCTAATAGGTGGGCCAGAGGCATTGAATAAGGTAAGAGGGGGCCTGCCGCCTCATCCAGGCTCAGGAAAAGCACACCCCCTCCTGGATCAGTGCATCGTGGGGCTCAGGAGCGGTTCAAAACCACTGTCACTTACCACTCCACCATATGAGGTAACTTCTCTTTGATGGTCCGGTGTGGGTCAATCTCAATTGGGTAATAGTGGTGAAGGAGAGCTTTGAGCTGGGACATCCAAATGAAGAGAAAAGCCGTTAGCCCGCGTCAACTTTTTCCCAGCGAAGTCCCACAGTTTATCGTGAGAAAATAATCACCTAGAAGATGCAACTTTGTGTTAGAGAGTGACTGATTTGCAGAGCTGGTCAGCCCTTCGCATGCACCCTCAGAATCTGAGGCCAAAAAATCAAGAAAGACCTTTTGCTCTCAAGGGAACGGTTACTAGGATTTTGTTGTTATTCATTAGCTCAGTTGGCAGGGCTTAACCAGTAAGAAAGTATTAATGCTGTATTTCCCAAAAATGGGGTACACTTTCTCAGGGGGTAGGCAAAGTAACTTTAGGGGCATGTGGATAAACACTTTTCATGTTAGCAGTTTTAGATTCATTTTAATGCATGTTAAGGAAAAAGACTCCTAGCACATCAAACTCAGGCTTTCACAAAGATTGTTTCTTTTCTAATTGCATTCAGATTTTTAATAGTAACCAAACTTTAAGTAAAATATGTGGTAAAAATCACCACAGATATGGCAAAAAGCAGAAGTAGAAAAATCATGGGAGTGAATCTGGGAGCCAACATGTTAGTGGACAACCATCACAACGCCAACATTGGGTGAACCACCTGACGAGCATTTACAAGTGCCTCCCCCTGCTAAGATTTCCTTCCACCTGCCAGGACCTTTGTCCAGGGAGACCGCTTCAAGGACCATGTGTCACACTGGGCCAGTCAGGAACAGCGCCCAATAAAAATGGAAACTGGGGAAAAAATTTAATTCTAATATACGCACAATCTCAGAATATTATGAGATCAAACGTAGAGTCCCTGACCACAGGTCCAAAAGAGAGTTAAAGGCAAAGGTCACAAACTGACAAAGGGAGAAACCTCCTGAACTGCATTAAGATTCTCAATGTATACGTTTTGTGGGGGGGGGGGGGGGGGGGAATGTGAGAACATTTTTCTAAAAGTATAAAATAATTCAGGAGAAGAAAATACTTTTTTAAAAAGAAAAAAAGATTCTATGCATAAACTTTGCTGTGTTAATTTTGGGGGGAGCTCATCAACACCTGGAATCTTGGTTTTCCCTAAGAGCACATCCCTTGAGCAGGCACCCAAACCAGCTGTCTTACTTGTGGGGGCAGCTTTCTGGAAGCTGATAAGATCAGGTATGTCAGGGAACCACTAAAAGTGACCTGCCAAAGGTCCTGAAGCCAGAACTTACACTAAACCAAAAGTGCATCTCCAGAGAGACTGGTTGTAGGAATATAAGAATTATCTATAATTTGTTGCCCATCTTTTTTTTTTTTTTTTAAGATTTTATTTATTTATTTGAGAAGAGAAGACGTGAAAGAGAGACTCTCTAATGAGCAGTGAGCCTGACATGGGACTTGATCCTAGGATCCCTGGATCATGACCCACGCCCAAGGCAGACAGACGTTTCACCAACTGAGCCCCCCAAGGCATCTCGATTTGTTGCCTATCTTAATAACAAGTAATTGGGGATCCCTGGGTGGCTCAGTGGTTTAGTGCCTGCCTTTGGCCCAGGGTGAGATCCTGGAGTCCCAGGATGGAGTCCCATGTCGGGCTCCCAGCATGGAGCCTGCTTCTCCCTCCTCCTGTGTCTCTGCCTCTCTCTCTATCATAAATAAATGAATAAATCTTTTAAAAATATTTTAAAAAAAGTAATCATGACAGTATTGGAGGAGCTGACCAATATGAGAGACTGAGAGACCCCTTTGCATGTAATTTAGTGACGAAGTGAAACTAAATAAGAGTTATTCAGTAGAAAGAGCTCAGCAAACTGCAGAGAAATGTGCAGCCAGCATAGCTCTCCTATGGCAAAGAGGACATGGATGGGAAGAACATGGAACAAAGTGAAATGAACTCTAAGGCTGCAGGATATATATCTGTATGTATTGCACGGAAATGAGCGTTATTATATATTGACATTGATTCAGAGGTCTTTCTTGATACCGGTTACCTTACCAAAAAATGATGTATTTTTTAAGATTTATTTATTTTATTTTATTTTTTTAATTTTTATTTATTTATGATAGTCACACACACAGAGAGAGAGAGAGGCAGAGACACAGGCAGAGGGAGAAGCAGGCTCCATGCACCGGGAGCCTGACGTGGGATTCGATCCCAGGTCTCCAGGATCGCGCCCTGGGCCAAAGGCAGGCGCTAAACCGCTGCGCCACCCAGGGATCCCAGATTTATTTATTTTAAAGTGAGAGGGACACCTGGGTGGCTCAGCAGTGGAGTGTCTGCCTTGGCCTTAAGACATGATCCCGGGGTCCAGAGATCGAGTCCTGCATTGGGCTCCTTGCAGGGAGCCTGATTCTCCCTCTGCCTGTCTCTGCCTCTCTGTCCCAGTGTCTCATGAATAAATAAGTAAAATCTTAAAAAAAAAAAAAAAAAGAGTGCACATGCGCAGGGGAAGGGTCAGAGGGAGAGGGAAAGAATCTCAAGCAAACTCCCTGCTAAGTAGGGAGCCCCTCCGCAGGCTTGAACCCAGATTCCACCACCCTGAACCAAAACCAAGAGCAGGGAACCCTGGGTGGTGCAGCGGTTTGGCGCCTGCCTTTGGCCCAGGGCACGATCCTGGAGATCCGGGATCAAATCCCACGTCAGGCTCCTGGTGCATGGAGCCTGCTTCTCCCTCTGCCTGTGTCTCTGCCTCTCTCTCTCTCTCTGTGACTATCATAAGTAAATAAAAAAAAAAAAAAAAAACCAAAAAAAAACAAGAGCAAATGCTTAACCCACACTGAGCCATCCAGGCACCCTCCCCAAAATTATATTATTAAAGAAAGAGCATAATAGTGAAGAGTTTGGGACAGAATCAGATCTATGGGAAAATCAAGCTCTGTGTCTTGCCTGTATGACCCTTGAAGGAGTTGTTTACCCTCTCCAAGCCTCTGTTTTCTTATCTGTTAAGTGGAGATCATAGTGGTTCTATCCACCCCTCGGAATTGCCTGAGGGTTAAACAGCGACGTTGAAGTCTCTTGTAAACTCTAGCTAGCAGTACCCATAACATCCCTATTCTAACCACCAATCATCACATCTTTAACAAAAAGGAGACACTGCCCCAGTGTACGAGACCAGGTTCACTTGAGCATGAGAAAAACAATTTTTAGAAATATTAATCTTCTAAGATCTCTACCCTGGAATCTTTGGTCCTAACCAAGAACCGTCTGAAGTCATATATGATAGCCATCTCTGAACAAAGAAGGGGAGTAACCCACCTCATTCCGGCACTCCTCACTGATGATCTTGCTGTTATCCAGAATGTCTGCAAAAACACAAAACTCCTTTCATTTGCCACTTAGAAACCACCATCTTGTCAAGCCCAACAAAGCAACCTAGTACGTGACTTACTGTAAGAAGAAGGGCATCGTTTTCCATTATATGCAAACCTGCTCAAGGTCATGTCAAAATCAGAAATGATCTAAAATGCAAAAGAGAGATGCTGTCCATACAGGCTCTTTCCTGTGTGGCCCTGCCTGGGGGTGGGGGTGGGGGTGGGAGACGGGGGACGGACGATTATGAAAGGCAAACCAGCTCAGTGCCCAGCCAGTGGGCAAAGCCCTGCAGGAATTAGGAAAGGCCAGGGTGTGGAAGGGAGAACTAATCCCAGTTAGTAGTAGCGTGCTAAGCCTGAGGATGCGAGCCTCTTGCAGGTCGCTGGCAGATGGGGAACTGAGGAATCAAGACCCCCTTTGACTCTTGGCGTCGCCATCTCAATGCCCCGGGTCCCTCCCAAGGTGACCCATCTCCCCATCTGCAACCGGGCGGGGGGAGGGGGGGGCGTTGACGGGGCAGGTGTGGAAGCAAGGCCCCAGGGCCTGGTGCCGGGTGCCGGGTGCTCTCCACCTAATTAGAGGAAGCAGCAGCTGGTCAAGGCCGATACGTTTGGAATGGAGGTTCTCCAGCTCTACCCCAGGTCGATCACGCGGGGCTCCCTGCTTGCCCGCAGCGTCCGCAGCGGCGCGGACGGGCCCCGGGGCAGGTCACCCCCCAGCCGCCCCACCTCGCCCCGGCCGCCGTACCTGCAAGCGGTCTCCCCCGCCCCTGCGGAGGGCGCCCACGATCTCCTGCACCCGCCCGGGCTGCCGCATCAGGACTGTGGCCTTCATCAGGGTGCTCACCTGTCCCGAGACCCGAGAGAAGCGCTGACCCCGGCACCGCGCTGGGCCCAAGGGGAGCCCGGGGCGGCTCGGCAGCCCCGAGAGGCCGGGCCGGGGCGCGGGGCGCGCAGAGGGGGGCTCCGGGCCGGCCCGGCCGCCTACTGGCCGGGGTGGCGCGGCGGGGCCCAGGCGGCCCGCTGGGGGCCTCGGAGCGCCCCGGGGGTCGGGGCCCGCCCCACGCCGGACGCTTCCTCCCGCCTCACCTCCTCCGCCATGGCGCTCGCGGCCGGGACGACGGCGCCGGGACAACGACCTCCCCCGCGGCCGCACTGCGCAGGCGTCGCCCGCCGGGAGCCGGGACCGCGGGGCCGGGCCGGGAGAGGGCGGCGGGCGGGGCCGGGAGAAGACCCGTGGCTCCCCGCTCTGTGTTGAGGAGGGCGAGGGTCCTAAGAGGTGGGGGTGACCGGATGCCACCGTCGGGAGCAAAAATGGTCATTTCCAAACACAAAGTGTGCAGGGCCAAAACCCCCAAAAAAGCCGCAGGAAGGGAGGGGGATATGGCAAACGTCCAGAAGGGGCTTCCCTGGGCCCACTCCTCATGGCAAAAGATCATGAGCCACTAACGCAAGTCTGCAGCGCAGGAAGGCCCTGGACAGCTGGGCCAGCATTAACTCCCGGGCAGCTTCCCTTCCTTCTGCCTCCTCTGACTCAGTTTCCTTGAATTCAGTGTCTGGGGAGCCACTGCCTAGCAGTGGAAGAAGGTAGATGATGCTACCAGGATACAGAACTGGGCAACTGAAGTGGGCAACAGGAGCTAGAATGGATAAAAACTCTTATATGGTGTCATGGTCACGACCCACTCCAGATTCAAGGGCTTGGAAGGTGTGGGGGACCATTCAGCCAGAATGGTGGGGGGGGGGGGTTGAAAGAAGGAGGACGGAGACAGGAGAGGGTTCCAGAACCCGAGAGCACAATCCTGAGAGTGATCTCATTGCAGGCCCAGGATTCTGGAACTTGGGCTGCCTGATGGGCCCTATATGAAAGATGTAGTAGGGAAAAGGAGCAACAGCAGGCTAAAGGGACCCCCACAACCCTCCCCGACACCCTAGGACAGCAGCCTCTCTCCGCTGGTCCCAGGGTGCCATGGAGATGGAGAGCACGGCGGCCTCCACACGTTTCCACCAGCCTCACATGGAGAGGAAGATGAGTGCGATGACCTGTGAGATCTTCAACGAGCTTAGGCTAGAGGGCAAGCTCTGCGACGTGGTCATCAAGGTCAATGGCTTTGAGTTCAATGCCCACAAGAACATCCTCTGTAGCTGCAGTTCCTACTTTAGGTATAACAGGGTGGCCAGGCTCAGCCAAAAAGGGGACTGGGGCTCCTTTTGAGACATTTGGTTCATTTCATGTTTCCCACCCCCTACCATCTTAAGTTAGGGACACTGTCAAAAACTCGGGGTTCCTGTGGCCTGGCTTTGTCTTCGGAAGAGGTACAACTAGGGCCAGAGCCTCCTCTCTGCTTTTCAACTGGATTTCAACCAACTGTTGGTGGGCCAGGTGCTTTTTTCCTTTGATTCTCACCCAAACCAACCTTTGGGAAGGTTGGACACCCATACTGGATTTCCTACTTAAACCTAGATGACAGGTGCCACTTCAGCTGCCCCTCGTGCCCCCATCCCAATAGAGACTATCTCAAACAGGGTGATAAATTAACAAGGATGGAGCAGATGGGAAGGACGATGCAGGAAAGCACCAAGGAAATGTTTATCAGAAGATAAAGGGAGTTTGGGCCACAACACTGTAACCTAGAAAGTGGCAGAGCTATCTTGTTCATGAGCTTAAAATGTTTGAGTAATCAATTCCAATGAAGATATGATAAATGTGCCCCCATCTGTTGCCCCCCAGCCCATTCTCTCTCTCTCTCTCTCTAAAAAAAAAAGGTAAAAAAACATTATTAGCTCGTAGGTGGTACAAAAAACAAGAGGCAGGCCAAATCTGGCCCAGAGGCTGTAAGTTCACAAACTCCTGCTCTAGAGAAGAATCTCTGATTTCCAAGCCCATATTCCCTGAAGCCACCTAGAAAAAGGAAGCAAAAATTTGTTAGAGCAGGGACTTCTGTCTTATTCAACACCCAAAAAAATAGTACCTAGCTATACAGTGGGAGCCCAATAAATAGTTCTGGAATAGTACACTGTCAATAATTATTTACCGAGTCCCTATTTTGTGACAGGCACTATCCGAGGTACTAGAAATAAAACAAGTAGAGATAAACATTTGTGTCCTCATGAAGTTCACCTCCTAGGAGGAGGAATAGGCACTCAATACATAAAAAATAGCAGATCATAAGTGCTAGGGAGAAAAAGGGAAAGTAGGGAGAGGAGGGTGGCGATTTTAAATAGGATGATGTTTGCTGATAAAGTGACATTTGAGCAAAGACTTTTTAAGATTTTATTTATTCATGAGAGACACAGAGAGAGAGGCAGAGACATAGGCAGAGGGAGAAGCAGCCTCCCTGTGGGGAGCCTGATATGGGACTTGATCCCAGGACTTGGGATCATGCCCTGAGGCAAAGGCAGATGCTCAGCCACTGAGCCACCCAGGTGTCCCTTGAGCAAAGACTTTAAGGGGGATGTGGGAGTGAGAAATATGGAGATCTGCAATGGGGAGCCTTCTGGGCCAAGGCAGCAGCATGTACAAAGGACCAAAAATGAAGCACCTATGGTGTATTCAAGGCAAGCAAGGCCAGTGGGATTGGAACGGAAGGAGGGGAAAGGTGGGAGGAAGTGGCCAGAGAGGTATTACTGGTCCAGATCTTAGAGGACTTTTGTACTCCCTGGGAAGGACTTTGTATTTTACTCTGAGTAAGAAGGGATGTCGGTGGAAAGTTTAGGGTGCAAGGGGTATGTAAACTCGTAAGGTGGTTGGGGTATGACGGTAAACTCTGGCAGCATCGAAGGGCAAAAGCAGGGAGATCTGTTCAGAGGTTAGTCCCAATCATCTAGGCAGGAGATGATGGTGGCTTGGACCAAGGAGGTAGCAGTAAGCAGTGAGGAGCCATCAGATCCTGAGTGTGTGTTGATTGAATGGTACTTATTTAAAAAGCATATTGCTTAAGCTTAATTCCCTTAAGCAAGATTCAGATAGAATAGACACAGGTCTGACTCCCTCCTACCCATCTATTTCCAGGCTACTCACCATGCACTATTTGGGAAATGTCCAAACTCTCCTCAACAAAAACAAAAGGTGGGGAGGGAGAACCTGGCAAACTGGAGAGAAATGTTTCAGTGGCTGCTAGTTTCTCTCTTTCTTCCAGAGCTTTGTTTACAAGTGGCTGGAACAACACTGAAAAGAAGGTATACAACATTCCTGGCATTTCCCCTGACATGATGAAGCTGATTATTGAATATGCATACACCCGGACCGTCCCGATCACACCGGACAACGTGGAGAAGCTGCTGGCAGCCGCAGACCAATTTAACATCATGGGTATCGTCAGGGGTTGCTGTGAGTTCCTCAAGTCGGAGCTGTGTTTGGATAACTGTATTGGCATCTGCAAATTCACGGACTACTACTACTGTCCCGAGCTGAGGCAGAAGGCCTATATGTTCATACTGCACAACTTTGAGGAGATGGTGAAGGTCTCGGCTGAGTTTTTAGAGCTCTCAGTCACTGAGCTGAAAGATATCATTGAGAAAGATGAGCTCAACGTCAAACAAGAAGACGCTGTATTTGAGGCCATTTTAAAATGGATTTCTCATGACTCCCAAAATAGGAAGCAGCATATTTCAGTTTTGCTTCCCAAGGTCAAGTTTAGTTATTTTTTGTGGGATGCTTAATTGCTCATGTTGGGTTCATTAATCCCGGAGGGACTATGCGAAGAGCCATATTCAGATGTTTGGCAGATTCCGGGGGCTGTATTTACATACACTTGTATAGAAGGCATCGCCTACTGTTCTGTGGAATTTTGCAGTTTTCTTTGCCCTTGGCATTGCTAGTTGCTTCCACCCCACTTATATTCTTTGACCAAAATTCTCCCTGGCAGTGGGGCAGGAGATGGCAAGGCCTTCAAAAGAATTCTAAAGGGCCTTCCGTTCACCCTTTTTTTATTCTGTGAGTTTCCCCAAACCCCAGGTAGAAGTGGGACTAGACACCAAACTGTGAGTATTATACACAATTACAGCCATTTGGTGCTAATTTGTGTTATTTTATAGAGAAACATAGATGTTCAATGACTGAACAATCACCACAGCTTTCTCTGGTCTAATAGTACTGCCTGGTGGCCAAGGAGGGGGCTGGCTCTGTGACCACTGAGGTGCCTTCTATCTAGCTCATTCTCAGCATCCAAATGTATGCCACCTCTGAAAAGCAAATATTGAAACTGTGAGCTGTAAATTTCAAACACAAAACAAAATATGACTGCATATTCATATGTAGTTCAAAGGGCTGCAATTCAAAGGCTGATTGTAAACAGGGAGTTGTGGAGATGGGTTTTCCAGGTACCCTCACCTCATCTGACTTCCTGTATTTCCTTCTTAGGTTCGCTTAGCCCTAATGCATGCTGAGTACTTCATGAACAATGTGAAGATGAATGACTATGTCAAAGATAGTGAGGAATGCAAGCCAGTAATCATCAATGCCCTAAAGGCCATGTATGACCTAAACATGAATGGACCCTCTAATTCTGACTTTACCAACCCACTCACCAGGCCCCGCCTGCCCTATGCCATTCTATTTGCAATTGGTGGCTGGAGTGGTGGGAGCCCCACTAATGCCATTGAGGCATATGATGCTCGGGCAGACAGATGGGTGAATGTCACTTGTGAGGAAGAGAGTCCCCGTGCCTACCACGGGGCAGCCTATTTGAAAGGCTACGTTTATATCATTGGGGGGTTCGATAGTGTAGACTATTTCAATAGCGTTAAGCGTTTTGACCCAGTCAAGAAAACGTGGCATCAGGTGGCCCCGATGCACTCCCGACGTTGCTATGTCAGCGTGACAGTCCTCAGCAATTTCATTTATGCCATGGGAGGATTTGACGGCTATGTGCGTCTCAACACTGCTGAACGTTACGAGCCAGAGACCAACCAGTGGACGCTCATTGCCCCTATGCACGAGCAGAGGAGCGACGCAAGTGCCACAACACTCTACGGGAAGGTAAGAATGGGGAAGGGGAAAAGAACATGTCCAGAAGCAATGCTCTTCTTTGTTTTTTGGGGATGGATGGAAAATAGAAGAGGCAATACTCACTTTGCAGTACTAACTGTCCTCAAATGACTGAGTGGCCCTTTGTAATGATCCTTTAAAATTTTACTCATTAAAAAGCAATATGAGGGACACCTGGGTGGCTCAATGGTTAAGCATCTGTCCTTGGCTCAGGTCGTGATCCCGAAGTCCCGGGATCAAGTCCCACATCGGGCTCCCTGCATGGAGCCTGCTTCTCCCTCTGCCTGTGTCTCTGCCTCTCTCTGTGTCTCTCATGAATAAATAAAATCTTTTAAAGACTACATTAAAAAATAAAAAGCAATATTAGTGGAAGGGAAGAGGGGGAAACTGGGGAAAAATTAGAGAGGAAGACAAACCATGAGAGACTCCTAACTCTGGGAAACAAAGGGTTGCAGAAGGGGAGGTGGGGGGATCCCTGGGTGGCTCAGTGGTTTAGCGCCTGCCATTGGCCCAGGGCGCGATCCTGGAGTCCCAGGATGGAGTCCCACATCGGGCTCCCGGCATGGAGCCTGCTTCTCCCTCCTCCTGTGTCTCTGCCTCTCTCTCTATATCTATCGTAAATAAATAAATCTTTAAAAAAAAAGAAAAAAAAGAAGGGGAGGTGGGTAGGCGGATAGGGTTAACTGGGTGACACACATTAAGGAGGATATGTAATGAGACGAGCACTGGGTGTTATACTGTATGTTGGCAAATTGAATTTAAATTAATAAAAATATATATATATTTTAAAAACAATGTATGGGGTGGCTCAGTTGATTAAGCGTCTGCCTTTGGCTCAGGTCAAGATCCCATGTTCCTGGGGTGCCTGGGTGGCTCAGTTGGTTAAGTGTCTGCCTTCTGCTAGGGTCGTGATCCTGGAGTCCTGGGATCAAGAGAGCTTGCTTCTCCCTTTCCCTCTGCCCATCCTCCTGCTCATGTTTTCTCTCTCAAAATCTTAAAAAAATAAAAATAAAAAGCAACATATGCATACACGGAAAAAAGAAACAGATTGTACAGACTGACATCAGAAGGGTCCCATCATACATACCGTTACTTTCTACTCCTCAGAGGTAATTATTTTTTTAAGATGTTATGTATTTGTTTATTTATTCATGAGATACACAGAAAGAGAGGAAGAGACACAGGCAGAGGGAGAAGCAGGCTCCACGCAAGGAACCCAATGTGGGACTCGATCCGGGGAATTTGGGATCACACCCTGAGCCAAAGGCTGATGCTCAACTGCTGAGCCACCCAGGTGTCCCCCTTGTGCCTCTCTTCACACAGGTCTACATATGTGGTGGTTTTAACGGAAATGAGTGTCTGTTTACAGCAGAAGTGTACAACACTGAGAGTAATCAGTGGACAGTCATAGCACCCATGAGAAGCAGGAGGAGTGGAATAGGTGTAATTGCTTATGGAGAACATGTATATGCGGTGAGTTTATCTTGTACCACACAAAACGATAACCCTAGATTTTTTGTTCACAAATAGGTTTGTGCTTTTATTGGTAAGCATTTGAAAAGCATTTTTTTCTGTGGAAAACAGTGGAAAGAGGGAGGTATGAAATCACTGGTTCCCCACCCCCACCCTCAAAGAAGACCTCTTCCTTGTTGAACAGAAGTAATGGCTAACAGTCAACCATGTTTCCCTTGCATCCATAGGTAGGTGGCTTTGATGGAGCAAATCGACTTAGGAGTGCAGAAGCCTACAGCCCAGTGGCTAATACTTGGCGTACAATCCCCACTATGTTTAATCCTCGTAGCAATTTTGGCATCGAGGTGGTAGACGACCTCTTGTTTGTGGTGGGCGGCTTTAATGGCTTCACTACCACCTTTAACGTGGAGTGCTATGACGAAAAGACGGACGAGTGGTATGACGCCCATGACATGAGCATCTACCGCAGTGCTCTGAGCTGCTGTGTGGTGCCAGGGCTGGCCAACGTCGGGGAATATGCAGCTAGACGGGACAACTTCACAGGATTAGCACTGCGAGATGAAGTAAAGTACTCCGCTTCGACAAGTACCCTACCTGTATGAGCCTCTTCATTTAGCTAATAAAGAGTCTAAGCAATAAGAATTACTTCTTTTTTTAAATAAATACAGTGTTTAAACTTGTAAGAGTACTGGAAAATGTTCAACTTAAGGGAGCCAAGGGTTGAAGGAGGGAGTAAGAGGAAAGGTAGAAAGCATTTATATCCAACAGTGCATCATGAAAAAGGAAAAAAAACAGTGCAAACCAGCTCTAAAGAAATACGTTTATTTGTAACTTACATTGAGACAATAGCGTCAACACAGAACGAGATACCTTCAGGAACATAAAACAAGCTATTTTACAATGTAATGTCTCAAAGCATCCTAAATTCTACATCTCCTCTGACTTTAAGGGAGAGAGCCAAGATTAAATTTTCAGTAGAGTAGGGGCTTGGATACTGATAGCCCAAAAAACTCACTGTGTGTCAACTTGACCTAAATATGTATTTTACAAATAACTCAATGAGCCCTAGGCACATGGATCATCATCTTCAAACATCTAGCAAGTTTAATTTTTCACAAATGCATTATGCAGGAGGATTAAGTTAACAAGTGCTCTACTGTATGTGCTTCAATGTCAGACATCCGTAGTGATGCTCGGAGAGTAAGACAAAAGCCCTACCAAGGTAATCAACAAAGCAGTTATTTGGCTACCTAATTAAGTTCCTTGAAGCAAGATGACTACTATATTATGTTATTGTTACTGTATTACTCAACTAGGAGCTGTTTTGTTTCCAATGACAAGAACACGTTATAATGTAGGCATTATAACAACAAAAACGGACATTCTCAAGAAAGTGACAAACTGGAGTGATGGACCGTGCCAAAATGTCTGACAATTAAAGGAGAGACTGAACTGTTTGTTTCTCAAGTATTCTACAGTTAAATGGCAACCAGTAAGTACCCTATTTTTCTAGTGGAGGCAGAGAACTTGCTTCACAATTCTGTGGACTTTCAAAAGACAGGAAGTGTGGCCAATATACCCTTTTTATTTAAGCTTAATTTGAGGAAAGTACAAAAAAAGTCCCTTTAGTTATGCTTGATTAGGCCAAGTAACTAAAATATACAATTTAGCTTACTTGTCTACCTACAGAATAGTGTCTTATTAGAACTATAAAGCAGAGAATGAAGTAAACATACCACATGCTACACTAGTCCAGAAACAAGAAAAAAGTGTGCCCTAGAAAATGTCTTACCAGCAGCCTGAAGAGTTTAAAAAAAGCACACAAATCTTTGACAAACACTATCTTTCCATCTTCAAACCTCTGTTCTGTATTTTTTTAAAAAGTCAGTATTTTAAAAGTTTTTGGTCCCAACAATACTATATAAAACTAAGTGATCAAAACAAAACTGATGTCAATGAATTTTGAGGTTTTTTTTTTTTTTTTTTGCAAAATATTTCTGAATCGGCACAACAAAAGCAAAGTTGGATATCAAGATATACAAGACTAATCATGCAAACAACTGCAAGTGAGATGTATTACTTAAACACTAAGCTCATGACTGACATTCTCAATGTATATCACAGATTTCTTTTTTTTTTTTGTATACCATGGTGTGGTAGGTATAATTAAAGGATATCCATTCTAAGATATAAGTAGCACTCAAAATTATGTATAGGTATTATTTTTTGGTATAATCAATTCTTGTCTTTTCCTTTCACAAAACATAAACAAAAGCAACAGTAACAACAACAGGTTTGCTTGAAAACATGCTGTCTTTTTTAAAGCTATATTTTTAACTGCTTAAATTACCAAACACACTCTAAGTTTTCATCAAAAAGGAAATTTCCTTCCCAAAAAGCCATTAGGCTGGTTATAGTCAGAACCTTTCCAAATACTCTGAAAGTTATTTCCAGTTTAGATTTCAGAATGTCAGCCTTGAACAGATTTAAGCAAATCTGGTTTCCTTCCTTATTAACAAGTTAGTTAGGATATTTCAGAAACACAAGTTATTGATGTGAAGTCACACGTGAATTCAAATATGAAAATTAGAAATTGAGTTGTCAGGAAAACCTGCACACATCATCATGCAAGGAAGGACTTACCACTTCTTTTCAGCCATGGCCTAGGCTGCCTGCTGAGTTAAAAAACAACAGTTTCAATCAAGTTTTCAAAACCAGATTATACCTAAATCTTAAGAGGAGTTAGAATGTGTCACATCACGTGAAAAAAGACCACCCCCCAAATAACTTGGTAATGATGGTCTCAGAAGACAACTCCGAGATAAGATCCAAAAATCTTACATCACACCTTCTGGAGAGAAACTGCCATTGTAGTGCACTACTGAATTATTTCACCATCACCAAGAAAAGGAAGTCTGATAGCTAGCGGCATCTATCAGAGAGGAGAATATTACTCAATGAGCTTTTCTGTCTCACTTGCATAGACCTCTCTCAACTCAGAATTAGCACTTCTCAGAAATGGCTTTTATCAAAATAACTACAAATGGAAATTGATAAAATGGAGGAGGTGGCATAGGATAATATATCCTCCTACAGAAACAGGACTTGAAGTTTACTACCTCCACTCCAATCTAAAAGAAATGGTTTTAGGGATCCCTGGGTGGCGCAGTGGTTTGGCGCCTGCCTTTGGCCCAGGGCGCGATCCTGGAGATCCGGGAACGAATCCCACATCGGGCTCCCGGTGCATGGAGCCTGCTTCTCCCTCTGCCTGTGTCTCTGCGCCTCTCTCTCTCTCTCTCTCTCTGTGACTATCATAAATAAATAAAAAATTAAAAAAATAAATAAAAGAAATGGTTTTAAAGCAGATTTCCAACACATTTATTGAAAAACTGTCCTAGGCAGGGATGCTAATTTAGAAATTTCAGGGAAGTTCTTAGTATACAGTCCAAGAGCTAAATACTAATAGTCTTGCAGCAAATTGAGAGCCAATATTTCTGGCTGTACTTTTTTTTTCTTTTGATGTTTGATATAATAAGGAGGCTAATATAATGGACTAGGGAAACAATAATCACTGCACTTCGAATTCAACTTCCAGAACTGCATTCTGGAATGTCTAAGGAGATTGGTATTCCAAAACAAACATATAATGGATCCCTTTTGCAAACCATTAGAACAGAAGTCCTTTAGGCTAAAGCTTGGGAGTGTGTTAGAGAATCAGAAGAATGCATAAAAATAAAAGATAACTAAAGCAATACATTTTTAAGAGACATAATTGTGTACCTAGGGGGATCCCTGGGTGGCGCAGCGGTTTGGCGCCTGCCTTTGGCCCAGGGCGTGATCCTGGAGACTCGGGATCAAATCCCACGTCGGGCTCCCGGTGCATGGAGCCTGCTTGTGTCTCTGCCTGTCTCTCTCTCTGTATGTCTATCATAAAAATTAAAAAAAAAAAAAAAAAAAGTTCTGAGAAAGAATCAGAACTTTAAAAAAAAAAAATGGTGTACCTAAATTTGGTATTCTAGGTTCAAAGTTCCAATAAAAGTCTAGGGCAGGGGATCCCTGAGTGGCGCAGCGGTTTGGCGCCTGCCTTTGGCCCAGGGCGCGATCCTGGAGACCCGGGATCGAATCCCACGTCAGGCTCCCGGTGCATGGAGCCTGCTTCTCCCTCTGCCTATGTCTCTGCCTCTCTCTCTCATTCTGTGTGACTATCATAAATAAATAAAAATTAAAAAAAAATTCTTTAAAAAAAAAAAAAAAAAAAAAAAAATAAAAGTCTAGGGCAACTGGATAAAATACTAGAACAACTAGGGCTGAGAAACAATACGGCTTCTCTTTAGCAACAGTTCTCTAAATTGTACCTTCCTTCGCATTTGGAAAAGGTTTCTTTTAGAAAGGAATAAGGATTCTATACAGTATACATTAGGGGAAAATTTAAAACTGAAGGCATTGTGTTGATTGTCATAGGCATCATTTACACTCATTAACTTATCCTCAAATAAACCTGCGACTCCTGAAAAAAGCATTTAAATGTTTTAATGCCTTTGATTGCTCAGTCTACAATACTTTTCTCCTTAAAGAAACAAATTTCACATATATAACTTCCTCTGTATTAAATCAATCAGCTAAAGATCAATATTCTTGTCAACTACCATCATCTCAAAGTGATGGCTCCATGCCTGTAACAGTTGCTGAAGAATGAAAAAATTTTAAAAATGAGCCAATCACAAATTTCTCATCAGTCATCTCCTCTAGAAATAAACTAGCACTTCTAGATAAGCACATACAACAAAATATCAATGCAAATCTTCTGAAATCATCTTGCTGAAATATTGTGCTTTTCCCTTCAAATCTCAGTATCACTATTGCACATACCTCCTGCAGATGAGGGCTCAATGCATATTCTGCCCTTTTCAAAATCGGCCATTCAGGAAATAAAATAAAAAGGAATATCAAAGTAAATGTGCAAATAAAATTGTTGCTTAAAGCATGTTCAAAACAGTCCCTAAGACAAAGGAGTTTTAACTTGTTGGCAGAAAAACACCCAAGTGACTATACTTGGTTTTTCCACTTGTCATTAATAAGATCTCATTAAGCCAGCATATCCACACAAACCAAAGACAGAAAAAGACTGCAAACCAACAAAAGTTACCACATATTAAATCGAGTTTCCCATTCTTCAGTTTTTAACTATATTTCCTTTATATGGGGCAATAATCAGTTTAGGTAGAAAATAAGTTATCGACATACTTTTTCAAGTAACAGTCTGGGTATCCTCAGCCTCATGAAACAGGTACAACTGTTTTAAGCTGCACCTATTAGAGAACCTAGCATTCAATCTGAGAGCTCGGCACTCGTCGCATGTTTAGGGCGTGCCGATGTATTTCTTGCATTTGTCTGATCCGGTCCTTCTGCCACATTAAGTTTTGAGGCATAGGATATCTCTGTGTGCCATGCAAGTACCGGTATGGAATTCTCACATGGCAAGCTGTGGCTCTACAACGTGGCTGTGGCATGGGAGGAAGAAGCATCCACCGCTTTCTTTCAGCACAGTATCGGTAGGCTTCTTTCCGATACTGTTTGTCAATATCATCACTGTTTTTCCAGCCTCCAATAATGAAAACGTCATCTTTGTAATAGCAGATAGCTGCTCCTTCAATGCTTAGGACTTCTGGAGGTAAGCTTTCAAGGATCTCATCGGAAACTTGGCTGGCAATTTTTCTTACTGCCTCTTCATTTTCTAAAGAATAACTCTTAGGACAGCATGATGCTGTCTGATAAAAGTTTGAATTGACCACGGACATTTGGAAAAAGCAGTAATTGTCAATAAGTGGCAAAGATTCCACATCTTGCCACTGTCGAGTCTCAGTATCATAGCAAGTAATTACAGCCTTTAATCCATCTTCTGTGTCCCGGTCCACAGGAGTGCGGGCAGCAATGTACACAAACCGGTCTTCAATGGCTAGCGCTTTGACATCTCGAAGAATCTTTGGTGCTGATTCCAAGTTGTGCCATTTATCAAGCTCAGGATTATAAACAGTCACGTCTTTAAAGCCAGGACTAAAGTTGCCATGTCCTCCTATGCTGTAGAGCTTCCCTTTGACCTCTGTTAACCCAAAAGAATGCTTCCTCGTCATCAGACTACAAACATGTTCCCATGTATTCAAATTTGGGTTGTATCTTTCCACAGTTTTAGCAAACCCTGGTTCCATTGATCCAGCAACATACACATAGGACTCTGTTACTGCAACAGCATGTCCATCAAGGTGATTATGAATATGGGGCAGGTTTACCCATCTGTCCTCATCGACAAAATATCCCACACATTCACTTAAATAATCCCCTCCTTCTGACACGCCTCCAATAACCATGATCACGTCCATGTTTTGCCCATAGCGAGGTAATAATGAGACATGAGAAGCGGGATGCTGGAAGGTGCCAGACTGTATGTTCTCAGCTCTCAGAGCATGCCTCTCTACTGCATCAGCCACCAATTTGACACAAACTTCATTATTGGCCACCAGCCTCTCTGGTTTGACATGCCGAGTAAGGTAAGTAGGTTTCATCTGGGATAATCTGAGCAATTTAAAAAGTTCTTCAAAGTATCTTTCTCTCTCTTCAGCATTTCTCTGAACCCACTTCAAAACTGTTTCAAAGAGAACCTCTTCAGAATCAACCGTAATTTCCAAGTCTGACAGCCAGTCTCGAATGAGATGGAAAGGTAAAGTATAAAATTCCTCATCCTGAATTACTTTGTGGAAATTTCTCCGTATCATATCGGCAGCTTTCAGTGCAAGTTGGCTCAAGGTATACATGTGAGCTAAGCTATGAATGGCCACACAATTAGAGAGATGAAGTTTCTTCTTGAGAAATTCTCCACAAAATTCTTTTAAACGAATTAAAAGGAACCTAAAATCAAGAAAAATAATTTTCAAATGTGCATATTTTATGTGGTTGCATTTTGAGAACATCTGAATTATACAAATTAAAATGGTAAGCTTCATCTTAATTTACACCCAACATTTGAAAAAAGACAAATCCCCCCAAATTAAAACGGATTTTTATGCTGCAAAGTATATTTAAAAGCATAGTCATCTTTATATATACTTTAAATTATTTGTATTATATAGTCTATATACAATTATATATGATACATATAATGTATCATATATACACAATGGAGAGTTCTTCATAATGTAAGGTTTTTCTGGAACATATCCTTTAATAAAGTACAATAGTCAGAGAAAGGCAAATACATATGATTTCACTCTTATGTGGAATTTAAGAAACAAAACAAATGTGCAAAGGAAAAAAAAAGAAAGATACAAACCAAGAAACAGACTCTTAACTATAGAGAACTGATGGTTACCATAGGGGAGGAGGGAGGTTGTAATGGGTGATGGGGGCTGGGGAGTGCACTTACCGTGATGAGAACTGGGTAACGTATAGAATTGTTGAATTACTATGTTGTACACTTGAAACTAATATAACACTGTATGCTAACTATACTGGAATTAAAATTTAAAAATTAATAAAAAAATACAATAGTCCCACACTTTATTTTTATTAGCAAAGGCAAATCCCAATCCTAATTTGTCTATGCTATTCCTGTCCTAATCCCGTCAGTCACTAGCCTTTTCTTCAATGAGGCAGGATCTCTGAAGGAAGAGACTTTATTGAGCCTTAACTACATGGTAAAGGAACTGTGGCTCCTGGGAGGCTGTTTCCTCAAATATCAGAAGGAACATCAGTAGAGGCCTTGTGTCAAGAGATTTTAATCTTTTCACCAGAGTTTTCTCCTTGGGCAGCAGATGATAGGGGCAGGGGGTGGTGCTTTGAGGGTGCAGCCTGAGATGGGTTCTCATTAAAAGTAGGAGTGGCAATGCAACCTCAAACAACAATAACAAATGTATGAAAGTGGTTTGGCATGTAGCGGAGTAGAAGCTGTCTGCTCACCCAAATACATTTGACACATATTCCCTTGGATAGGGTGTTTGGAAACACTGCTCTATGAAAACAACAGATATCATATACCAGGCCTTCGTCATGTGCTGGGCACTTCCTGTTATTTCCTTGTAAGTACCCTTGAAGGAAGGTATCATCAACGGAGTATATGGGTGGTAAGGAGAGGGATGCTGCCTCAGAACTGATGCGTAAGATTAGATGTGATGGTTGCAAGGCACTTAAAACAGTGCCTAACACAAGGCAGCTGCTCAAGCAGCTGACAGATGGAGAGAAGTTAAGAGTTTTAAGAAAATTGCCTGGGGCCTTCTCTCCTCACCTCCAATTCCCCCTATAAAGGGGGGGGGATGGAAAAACAAGACCACATGACAGACACAAACACAGCTTGAGTGAGTGCAATGACCATGTTCATCCATTTTCATTCAACAAACCTCCCTCTCTCAGATCTATACGTGCCTTCATCTTGGGGTCCCTGGGTGGCTCAGTTGGTTAAGCATCTGCCTTCAGCTAGGATCAAGCCCCATGTCAGGCTCTCTAGTCAATGGGAAGTCTGCTTCTCCCTCTGCCCCTCACCGTTTTGCTTTGAAATAATAAAATAAGCAAAATCTTTATACTTGCACCCATCTTTTCTCACCTTCTAATGAATGACCCACCCCTGTGCTTGGAGAAAAGCAATCAGACGGAAACATCATCTCCCCCCGGTCAATCTGCCTGCACTCTGCCTTCCCAGTCCAACTTTTCCATTTTATTTATTTATTTATTTATTTATTTATTTATTTATTTATTTATTTTTAAAAGATTTATTTATTTCTTTATTCAGAGAGAGCGAAAGAGAGGCAGAGACACAGGCAGAGAAGCAGGCTCCATGAAGGGAGCCCGATGCGGGACTCGATCCCGGGTCTCCAGGATCACACCCCGGGCTGCTCGCGGCGCTAAACCGCTGCGCCACCGGGGCTGCCCAACTTTTCCATTTTATTTTATTTATTTATTTTTTCAACTTTTCCATTTTAAACACGGATTCTGTCCCATTCTTGGTTTTAAGGACTTTGCTCCTGCAATTATTCCCCCATTTCTGTAACATCAATTTCTCCTCTTCCACGGATTCGTCTTTTTTTTTTCCAGCACACAAACAAGCTCTAGTATCTCCTATCTTACAAGGGAGAAAACAACCTCCCCTGACTCTTCTCCAAACATTTCCATGTGTATCATTATTCTGACCCTCTTTAAAGGAAGACTTAAATGGCTCTTGTTAATGCCATCAAGGACCTCTATTACTGTCAAATCCAATCATCTACTATGGTTGACAAAGTTGACTTGATTGGCTACCCCCTCCCTCCTCTACACCCTTTTCTAAGGCTTCTGTGTGACCCATCTCCTCTGCTGGTTCCTCTAATCTTTTGGAACCCCAAGGTTCAATCCTGTCCCTTCTACGTCTACACTCTCTTCCTAAGTAATTTCATCCTATCTCATGATATGAGATTACAATCTATATGACATGCCTTATTCCTCCCAATCTCTCCTAATGTTCTTATATCCAACTGCCTACTCAGACATTTCCTGGACCAAAACCAAACTCCTGATCTTCCCAAACTTGCTTTCCTACACTCTTCCACATCTTAATAATAACTCCATCTTTCCAACTGCTTGGATAAAAAAACTAGCAGTCTTTTCCCTTACACTCTACATCAAACCCATCAGCAAATTTGTCCCTTATACCCTCAAAACATATCTGGAATTGACGCACTACTCACCTTTACTTTTCTTTGATCCAAGCCTCTACCACCATTCCAACAACCTCATCTCTCTGCTTCTGCCCCAGGAGCTCCTTCCCCACCACCCCATTCTTTTTTCAACACAGTACATTCTTCAAATCAGACTGCATTGTTCCTCGGCCCCCAAAGTAAAATTCTTCAAATCAGACTGCATCATTCCTCTTCCCCTAAACCTTCCCATCTCATTCAGAGTAAGAGTTGGGAGTCCTTCCACAGACCGCAAACCCTTTGGAATCTGAATTGCATGGAATCTAGATCCATCCCCATTACCACTCTGAAGGGTCTCTCCCACCCCTCTCTATCTGCATCCATCTGATCTAGCCACACTGGCCTCCCACTATTCTCTAACATCCAGATAAGCTCCACCTCGTGGCCTTTCCACCTGTGCTCCCTACCTGAAACACTCTTTACCTCATCTCCTTTGGTTCTTTGCAAAATGTCTTCTTCATTAGGCATTCTCTCTGTACCCAATTAAAAAACACAATTCCTCTCCACCAGCACTTTCTATATGCCCTTACCATGCTGTGTTTTTTCATCAAAATTGTAACAATCTGACACCTATTCACTTTACTTGTCCATCTACCAAGGTAAGTGCAATGAGGAAAGGGACTTTTGTCTGTTTTGTTCACCACTGAATTCCTAGCATCTGAGAACCCGGTGTCTGTCGCATCACAGGCACTCAATAGGTATTCGTTAAAATAATGTACCTGTAACACAATACTGCCACAACAGACGTCTCTAAAAATGGCATTCACCTGCCTCCTAACCAGTCTCTGAAGCCTCCATTCCTATACCCTTCAGTCCATTTCTCACAGCAGCAGAATCATCTTTAAAAATAATCAAATCAGAAAATTTCTTCACCCAGCTTCCCACCACAGTAAAAAAAAAAAAAAAAAAAAAAAAAAAATCATCAAACTCCTTTATTTCAATGCATTTCACAGACCCTTCACCCACTGGATCCAGCTCCACTGGATATTTCCTTTAGTTCTTTAAGCTAAACTGGGTCCTGCATGAGGGCCTTTGAGCCATCTGCCTGGAATGCTCATTTCCCATCTTTGCACAATAGGTCTTTCCCATCGTTTGGAGGTCGGTTTAAATGTCACCTCTTCAGAAAGGTCTTTCCTCTACCCAATCACTATCCTTTCATCCTTTTCAAATGTCAACACAGCACTGATTACACGCAGACTTTCTTTTTCATTGCCTTTGTCCCTCCACCTGGAATCTGAGCTCCCCAAGAGCAGGGCGCCCTCGTCAGACGGGCCGGCTGCATCTTCAGTACCCAGCGCAGTGGCTGCCCCAGAGCGCACAACAGACGCTCCAGAAGTATCGAACAAACGCATCCCCTCGGGGCCCCCCCGGAGGCACTGCCTCCGGTCTCCTCCACGGACGCGGCCCTCGGCGGGCGAGCATCTCCACGGCCCGGCGCGCGGCCCTCCGCATCCCGCCTACCTGTCGGCCAACTCCAGCACCTCGTGCACGCTGCCCGTGCTGACGCGGATGCGCCCGGTGTACATGTATTCGATAACGGCTTCCACCGTGTCGGGCTCGGGCCCGGGTTCAGAGCTCCACTTGCGCATCTCCACCCGGCCCGAGCGGGACTCCGAGAACTGGCCCGAGAGCAGGGGCGTGAAGTACTCGGTGGCGGCGGCCAGCACCGAACGGTGGGCCCGGAACTCGCGGCCTCCCGCGCCGCCGAAGCACAAGGTAATGTCGCAGAAGAGGCCCTGGCGCCGCTGCTCGTTCTGCCTCCAGGACAGCTCTGAGCAGTGAGAGCTGCACTCGAAATCCTCGGCCTCCGGGCCCGGATCGCCCCCGCTCGCCTCCATTGCAGAGATGCCGGGCCCAGACCCGAAGTCCACCGTGCCGCTGCCTCGGACTTCGGCGGCCAGCCCTGCAGAGCCGGCGGCGGCCGTCTCCATGCTCTCCATCTCCAGCACCTGCAGAGACGCGGCCGCCGCCGCCGCCGCCGCCGCAGCCACTGCCGCCGCCGCCATCTTGACGCCGCCGCGCCCGACCTCCGCAGTCTCGGAACGATCCAGCCGTTCTGGTGCGACACAGAGGGATTCTGGGAATAAATAGTGGGCGCGGGGCGGAGCCGGCGCCGCGGGTGTGCGCACGCGCGGCCGCCCCCCGCCCGGAGCTGCCCGTCCCACCTTGGACAGGGCTCCACGGTGCTGCTGTCCGCAGACGTCCCACCCGCGTTTCTGTGGGTTGTGTGTGTGTGCGTGTGTGTGTGCGCGCGCGGCTTGTCTCCTTCCCCTTCACGAAGGCATGCTCCTCGTGGCCGTGGCGTAGAACAGGAGCCACCCCGGACCACCACCCATTGTTAGTGTCTCGGGTGGCAACAGTGGATTTTTAGAGTTAGCATGGATTTAGAGTAAACATTAGAAAAGAAAAAAAAAAAAAGGCTTGAGACCGAGCCCCAAGTAAGTGGATGAGGGTGAGAAGTCACTCAGTGCCTCTGATCTAATCTATCTTCTTAAAATGGAATAGTATCTACGCTGGGAGATGGCTGTGAGGATTAAACGAGATGCTTGTGTTTTACGTAGGGTTTGATTCATACTTACTGTTCCATGCATACTTGTTAAAAAGATGAATAAAAGCTACTTTGGGGTTTTAAGCAAGGGAGTGGCTCAGATGCATGTTTTAAAATATCACTGGTGGCTCTAGAAATAATGAAAAAGTGGCACTAGTTAAAAGAGGAGATATGGGTAGATAAGAGGGATAATGAAAGGATAAGATCCCTAGGAGGTGGCAACCAGAGAGAAGGGGAGTAGAAAAGGAGGACTCTCTGTGGCTTGAGTATCTGAGTAGAGCTTGGTTCCTATTCACTAAGAAAGGGAGTGGTACAGATTGAGGGGAGAAGATGGAGTTTTTATTTGTTCATAATTTTTCTAGTTTTATTTTTTAGTATACCCAAGGTGGGCCTCAAACTCACAATCCTGAGATCCAGGGATCCCTGGGTGGCGCAGCGGTTTAGCACCTGCCTTTGGCCCAGGGCACGATCCTGGAGACCCGGGATCGAATCCCACATCAGGCTCCCGGTGCATGGAGCCTGCTTCTCCCTCTCCCTGTGTCTCTGCCTCTCTCTCTCTCTCTCTCTGTGTGTGTGACTATCATAAATAAATAAAAATTAAAAAAAAAATCCTGAGATCCAGTCGTATGCTCCAACAACTGAGCCAGCCAGGAGCCCCTGGCAGGGGTATGTGCGCATGGGGGGTGGTTTCCTTTGAAGCTAGTGGGTTTTTTTGTTTGTTTTTAAGATCGTATTTATTTATTCATGAGAGACACAGAGAGAGAGGCAGAGACACAGGCGGAGGTAGAAGCAGGCTCCATGCAGGGAGCCTGACGTGGGACTCGATCCCAGGTCTCCAGGATCAGGCCCTGGGCTGAAGGCAGTGCTTAACCCCTGAGCCACCCGGGCTGCCCTGAAGCTAGTGTTTTGATTAGTTATTTTCTGTGTGTGAAAAAGTGGATGAACATTTTAAAAAATGACATGTAGTAAAACCATTAGAAAGTATAGTTCAAAAGAATACAGAGGAAAGGACACAGAGGACACGAGACAGTAGTATGTCTTGTTACTAGATAGTTTATTGAAACCAAACTGATAATACAGAAAAGAGACTGAGGTGGCAGCTCCCAGAATCTTGGTGGATTACAGATGCAAAGTGGCTGGAGACAAATCGTTGAACCCACACTTCAGTAACAGACTGATAAATCGGTTGCATAAATACGGAGAACGAAAGACATGAGACATTTCACAGCTTTTCACTTTGCGTTTGTTTTAAACATATGTATGTTACAACTTTACATTTTAAATTACTATTCCATGTATTTTGTGACAATGGCTAAGGATGCAATGGTCCCATCCCCTTGACATAAGGAGAGTTTGGTCTGCAACATAGAACATTTCGGTGAGATACCAAACAAACCCTTAACACATAACACATCAACAGATCTTTAAAAATCAGTTTAACACAACACTCTTCGGTTTATAGGAGGAAGAGAGAGAAGTGGAAAAGTAAGACATTAGGGATGTTTTCAATTGATAGTGTCTTGAGGTCTTAAAAGTTTCATTCCCTTCCTCTGAGGGAAAAAATTTTTTTTTAACTAATAGAAAGAAGAAAGCAACATCCTAATATCCTACAACGAGGAAAAACACTATCCTTACAGTGCTTAGATGCTTCCATATAATAAATACAGCAGGTACCAGAGCAAATGTCACAATTTATTGGCTTGGTTTTTATTCTATGCTTACAAAAAAAGTACTAAGCTTCTTTGTGTGGACTGACCAGAGTTAGCCTGTGGCTGTCTTCGGTGCCTGGACATCAAAAGCTGTTTACATTCCAGGCCCATCCTATAGCAAGCTCCAGTGCCGGCTGTCTGTACGCAGTTTCCCAGGGGAGGAGTTCTTGTCTTCACTTTACTGCAATAGGGTTCCTGGCTCAGTTACATGCTCATATGTTCCGGAAGAACATATGAAATATCATCCCAAGGGTGACGATAAAGCCCCTGCTTCAGCCTCTTCTGATCGAGATAGTGTCCTGAAATGGAGCAAAGGCATCTTTGTTGTTAAGAGTTGGTGAGTCTGTTAAAAGTCTGGCAAGCGGGAGAGGATAAGGATGAGAAATCTAATACAAAAAAAACGAAGTAAATCCAGATCTACTGCATAGGTGGATGACAGCCTGGGTAAAAGGCAACCGTCAGATTTCATTGTTTTCCTGGGCTAGCAGTCATTTCCAAGAACAAAGGAATAAAGATAAAGGGGGAAGTTAAAGTACGAAAGGAAGGATTAGGGACAATGATGAAGATAATAGGACATGTAGAAACTTCCCACATAGGTTAAGTGTTCCAGATGAACCATGGGGAGGGAACCAAATCAAACTGAATTCTTAATAACAGCAACAACTACCAACTCACCGATGAAGCCCATACTCCTTCCCAGCACAAAGATGCCATTGAGAGCTCCAATGTCAATATATTCATCAGCTTCCTCCCTGCAACACACAATCAACCTGTGGTTTTAAAAAGGCTCACATGACCACCCTCCTCCCCACAGACAATACAACTTCTGCCCAAGAACAAAGTTTCAAAGTAGAGAAAGGATGCTCTGGGTAGTAAAAGTAAAGATAATTTTTGTTTCCTTTATGCCTCTCCATATTTTCTAAATCCTCTGTAATGAGGGGTGCCTGGGTGGCTCAGTGCTTGAGTGTTTGCCTTTGGCTCAGTTCGTAATCCCGGGGTTGTGGGACTAAGTCCTGCGTCCGGCTTCCTGCATGGAGCCTGATTCTCCCTCTGCTTATGTCTCTGCCTCTCTCTCTCTGTCTCTCATGAATAAATAAAATCTTAAAAAAAAATCCTCTGTAATGAGCATTACTCTGCTTTTAGAACTGGAAGGAAATAACAGCATCAATAATTGTTAAGATTAAAATGGCCACAGAACTCACCGGGTAAAAGACCCACAGTTTCTAAGCATGTCAACAAATGCAACTCCGATGAAACCGTCTACGTTCAGGATAAGATTTGGTTTCTAGGAAGGCAAAAAATTCAAAGCACTTACTATTCCTTTGTAATCTTCCACAATTACTACTAATCTAACTATAGATTCTGACCACAATTTACAAACCTCCCAACAAAACACCCCAGCTGGTTAGGAAAGAAGTGTCAGTTCAACTCCCAATGTCTAGCAAAGGACCCAACACCGAGTTGATACTTGGTATGTATCTGTTGAACTTAGTGCAACAGAAATAAAATTTCCCGGGGCACCTGGCTGGCTCAGGGATTGAGCAGACATCTGCCTTTGGCTCAGGTCGTGATCCTGGAGTCCTGGGATCGAGTCCTGCATCAGGCTCCCTGAGCCTGCTTCTCCCTCTGCCTATGCCTCTGCCTCTCTGTCTCTCATGAATAAATAAAATCTTGAAAACTAAACAAATATATAAAAGTTCCCGGAAAACCAGGTTTGATTTTTGGCTGCACAATCGAAATGTAGGCTGGCTCTTGTTTTCCCCAAGAAATTCACCAACAGCTATGATTTGGGAATTAGGGACATTTTCTCTTTTACCTTTGAGGTGGTAATCTTCTCAACTTCCAGTGCATAGTCAAGCAGGGGGGTGGCAGGGAAGTGCTGTTTGACGTAATCTTTGAGGATCTGCACCCGCATGTCTGGGTTGTTTATCTAGAAAGTGACCCAAAGTTACAGAGGAACCTGCCCTAACATCACTATTAAGAGATATGTTTGTGCTCCTGCCACAGACAGACACAAATGCATGTATCACATCCAGGATGTGTGTTTCAGGGAACTGATCCACACAGATTATGACAGACACTACCGTGGGGCTCAAGGTTTCTAAAGTCTTTTATGTTACCAACAAGGAACTGAGACCTGGAGATGTTAACTGAGTTCACCACAGGCCTCAGTTTAAGCACCAGGGGACCCAATCTCCAAAAGTTTTAGGTTCTGGCCACAAATCATGTTGCCCACCAGCTCAGCAGCCTCATCCAGCGGCAACAAAGTTCAATAGAGTTCTTCGTTTTTAAACTGGCAAGCACTTAATGATGTGGGGAAGCAAAGCACCCCTGATATTTGAAGAAAAGCCCTGGACCTGCTGTCCATGGGCCTGCAATGCCCATTCAGAGACCCACACTAAGCAATAATTGGTCAGCAGGGCAAGGGAGGTGGTTCAGGTACCAGCCAAGTCCCAATACTACAGCGACTTGAGCCACTACCAGCTCCCAAGCAGACAGCACTGCTCCAGTCCACAGTGCAGGGTCTCCTTCGGAGAGAGTGTCAGCCCTGTGTTGCCACACTCAGGCTTTTGGGTTTCTTCCTTTCTGGAATCCAAACTAACCCAGCGTATCTCTGCTAAGGGAGGAGGTCACTGAGGCTGCAAACCCTGGAGCAGTCCCTCAGAGCTATTAACACAGTCCCTGATTCTAATGCAAACCTATTTAAGGGCATTCTGTATTATAATGGAAAAATAGCTGCCTTATTTTGACATCTGTCAACACAGTCAAAGCTCTGCAGGTTAAAGGAAATCAGGGGCCTGGGTGTTCCCAACTAGAACAATGCTGTCTCCATCTACCTTAAGGAGAACCACAACTTACCGACTTCACTCGGTGCCCAATGCCCATAATCAGCTTTCCTTCTTTCTTCATCTTGTTCACAAACTCCAT